CCTCTCAAGGGGCCCCTTGTTTGGGGCTGTGGTTTTGGCCCATAGTGGACGACGGGCCTTTTTTCTGTAACTGGGTGTTTCTCAATGTCGAGGAAAGCTGCTCCAGAGCCACTATTTCAATGTCCAGCATACTTGGAATTCTACCGAGGCCGGCGTACTTCGTAGCGTGAAATTTCGAGGCTGCACATGTGTAGACTCCGCGGTCTTAAAATCCCCACAATGCTTTGCGCACGGAACAATTTCCCAAATCTTTGGCGGAAAATGTAAAGCGGGGCCTCTCATATGACGCACACTTGCACACTTGCTAGCCTGTTCAATTCTTCGTTCTCCGAATGCCAGGAAGGATTCTTGCCTAGCCTCTGATGGACCTGACTCGGAAGACAAGGAAGCCTCCTCGACATTGAGAAACACCCAGTGAGACAGACGTGTTGGCAGAACATGTTTCCTGTTAGTGACTGAAACCATGTGAGAATGGTTTAGTGTCGCTCAGCCTGTTGAAATGTCCAGTCCTCACTGGAGGACAAAGGCACAATCCTCTCCTTTTCTGTGGCCCATATACTAAGTCTGACTCCTGCAGTGGTCGGAGTTTGAAACCAGACAAAAAAACGTCCCTTTGCTGCAAGTCGCCCCTTCTTCCCTTTTTTCATTAATAAATGCAAAAAGCCTAAATAAATAATCTTTAATGTATGCTTTATTGATTATTTTACGTTTTGTGTACGTCCTCAAACAGATACCTAAACAAAGTCATAAAGATGTCAGACAGGACAAAAAGTATAAGGAAATACATTTTACAGTGGCTGAAAACTGTTTAAAAAGTTCAACTAAAATACAACATCCATTACTTGTTTGTTGCATTTTCATGTTTATGTTATGAAAAAACAAGATGAAAAAATATTTGATTTAAATGTATTTAACCTTTTGTGTTTATCTTCCAACAGATACCTGTCCAAAGTCATCGTCCTGAACTGAATACCAAAGAACATTTTCCTCTGAAAGACATCCTGACACCATCTGATGGAGAATACATGACATAGCAGCATTTCCTGCTGTTGATAATTCACCCTGTGACAGAGGTGAGAGAAAAACGAAATAAGATTTAGAGATTGGTAAACAGAGCTGAGGGTGTGAGATTGAAACACTTAAGAGAAAGGACAGTATCTTAGTGAGTTTTGCTTTTAAAAGACACCAGTGACCGAGACAAATGGCTGAGAAAACCGCTCTTTTTGAACGTTTCCTGAGCTGCCATGTGTGTTCAGAGACTTTCAGAGATCCTGTGTCTCTGAGCTGCAGCCACAGCTTCTGTTCGAGCTGCCTGCAGGCATTCTGGGAACAAAGTAAGAACAAAAACTGTCCCATTTGTAAAAGAAAATCTTCAAAAGAATATCCTTGGGTGAATTTGACACTGAAGGAGCTGTCTGACTCCTTTGCTGAGAGACAGAAAGCTGGATCACCTGAGACAGAAAAAGGAGAGAAGAAGCTGGAGGTGGTGTGTAGTAAACATCAAGAAGAGCCTAAATTGTTCTGTAAGGATGAAGAGAGAGCTGTGTGTCCTGTCTGTGAGTTTTCTCTCCACCAGACCCACGAGGTGGTTCCTGTAGAACAAGCAGTCAGTGAGCTGAAGGACCTGCTGACATCTGAAATCATTTTGGATTCTGCTGTTCATAGTGGGAATTTGATTTACCTCAAACGTGTTGGAATTAACCAAGTTCCCAGTCCAAGAGTTTTGCAGTATGTTCTGAGCTGATTATCAAAAACAGACAGCACATCTTTGTATAAGAAATACAAACAACATTTTATATATTGTATGAAGAGTCTGGGAACCGAGGGGAAAAAAAGTGTTTTCCAATCTTCTTTATTTCCTACCTATTTAGGGTTAAAAAAACATCCTGCAATTTAGACTTTTTTACATTTCATTGCATTTTTAAATGTTATAGTATGTCCACTGACGTCAGGACCATTTTAGTTTGAAATGACACTCAAAATTAACAGGTAAACTATAATGTATTATGCTTATAGAGTGATATTAATACAATAATACATTCACCTTTATTTAAAACATAAATAAGTAATGGATCTGAACATTGCTGTTTATTTGGTCACTAAAAAACTAGTTTGGTTTTTGGTGAATCTTTCCAGATCTTCAAAGACTTTGTAGTCAATGTACTGGGAAAGTACCTCATTGAAGGCTTCTCAATTCTTTAACTTCCCCCTCCTCGACTCCTAGAGACCCCGGTATAATGAGACAATAACAGGCTACAGATTCGGACATATACACACACATATATTTATATAGAGCGGAAGAGCTCACAGATGTCCTCACAGACATTTTTAACATCTCCCTGAGCCAGGCTGTTGTTCCCTCGTGCTTCAAGGAAACCACCATCATTCCAGTGCCAAAGAAGTCATCTCCATCCGGCTTCAACGACTACCGCCCCGTCGCACTAACTTCCACCATCATGAAGTGCTTCGAAAGGCTGGTCATGAAGCACATCAAATCCACCCTCCCCCCCATCACTGGACCCGTTTCAGTTTGCCTACCGAGCTAAACGGTCCACAGAGGATGCAATCTCCTCCGCTCTCCACCCAGCCCTCACACACTTGGACACTAACACTAAGGCTAAGGACCCTTATGTCAGAATGCTATTCATAGACTTCAGCTCAGCATTCAACACCATCATCCCCCAGCAGCTTGTACAAAAACGTACAGACCTGGGCCCCAGCCCCTCTCTCTGCAACTGGTTGCTGGACTTCCTCACAGAGAGACCACAAGCTGTACGGATCAACAATAACACCTCAGACACCCTCATACTGAGCACGGGGGCCCCCCAAGGATGTGTGCTCAGCCCCCTTCTCTTCACTCTGCTGACCCACGACTGCAAACCCACCTTCAGCACCAACCACATCGTGAAGTTTGCAGACGACACTACTGTGGTGGGTCTCATCAGTCACAACGATGAGACTAACTACAGGAAGGAAGTGAACCAGCTGGCCCTGTGGTGCCAAAACAACAACCTCTTCCTCAACCTGGAGAAAACAAAGGAGATAGTTGTTGACTTCAGGAGAACCCACCGTCGACCCCCACTCCCCCTGACCATCAACGGCGCTGCTGTGACGCAGGTGATCAGCACCAAATTCCTTGGTGTGACCATCACTGAGGACCTCACCTGGAAAAACAACACCACCGCTCTAGCGAGGAAAGCCCAGCAGCGCCTGTACTTCATCCGGAAGCTCAAGCGAGCCGGAGCATCACCCCCCATCATGCTGTCCTTCTACCGAGGCGCCACCGAGAGCATCCTCAGCAGCTGCATCACGCTGTGGTTCGGAAGCTGCACCGCCGCCGACCGCAAGAGCCTGCAGCGCATAGTGAACTCTGCCCAGAGGATCCTCGGTGCCTCACTCCCCTCACTCCAGGACATATACAACACCCGCCTCACCCGCAAAGCACTCAGCATTGTGGGTGACTCCACCCACCCCTCCAACAGCCTCTTCAGCCTCCTGCCTTCAGGAAGAAGGTTCCTCAGCCTCAGCTCACGCACCTCCAGGCTGGGCAACAGCTTCCTCCACCAGGCGGTCAGGCTGCTGAACTCTCTCCCCTCCCTCCATCTCTTCCGCCCTCTGACATCTCTCCCCTGAACTCTCCACCCTGCCTCCGACCTTTCTCCCCTGCCCCAAATGGTCCTGGACTCTAACCCCCTAACTCACTTTTCTGCCCATCTCCCATGCTACTGCACTGAAACTGTACTTTGAACACTTAAATTATATTAACATTTTAAACTGTATACCCCAGTTATCTAGGCCCTTTGTTTTGTTTAATGTATACCATGTTTATCTAGGCCCTTTTTGTTTTTTGTTTTATGTATACATGTCACACTGTAGGACTGCGGGAAACGATATTTCTGGATGTACAACATGTAGAATTATTGACAATAAAGCTGACTTTGACTTTTGATATAAATATATACAATTTCAGAATCAAAAAAGTATGAGAGCACTCTCATAATAACGTAACACAATCAGAGACTGGATATATTATCCTTATAGCTCTTCCAGAGAGCCTCCTCGATGCTCGATGTGCATTTAGAGAAATTAGATGTCCTTCAACATGGCGCACTGAAATCCATTTCCGGGTCACTACCGGAGGACCGAGGAGTGGAAATTAGAGAATTGAGAAGCCTTCATTGACTCTAGGGTCATCTCGACTGGTTTTATGGATGTGGTCTCCATTTGACCATGCTCAAAGAAACAAACTTGGCATTCCTGAGGCAATTCAAATGTTTCATGGCTCCACTTAAAATAAAAACAAGACATACGTGCTACTCTTGGCCCACAGGGACATGTCTTTCCAGCTCGTCCCTATACAGTATGTCTCTGTATCTGTATGCTCATGGAGCCTCCTGCATCTTTCCCCCCCTTCTTCTTGACCCTCTTCTATCCCAGGTGTGAAATCCTCATCTCTCTCATCATCTGAGAGCTCAACATCTGAATCTCCCGTAACTATCTGGTACAGAAAATGTCTGCTACTTCAGTTCTGTCTCCTGCAACAATATTGAGTCATTAAATCCATGAAGACGGTCCTGACGTCCACTAGGATGGACATTTATAAAAGAGCTGTTATTTCAAAACTTGAATTATTTAATTGCTTTCAGAACTAATTATATAGTTCCTCACATGTTAATAAAGAACATATATGATTTTCATGTTAAAAATAACAATTAATCAACAATATTTGACTTCTCTTCCTGTTGGTATGCCAGCCATTTTGGATGAAATGAAAGCGGAACTTCCCAGCATGCAAGGATATATTGATGCTAATACTTTTCTACTTTTACTTGAGTAACATTTTGAATGCAGGACTTTTACTGTAACAGAGTATTCCTACACTCTGGTACTTCTACTCAAGTACCAGATCTGAGTACTTCTCATACCTCTGCGTTGTAATCTCTTCAGGATATTTGACAGTCTGAGGTTTGAAGGGCACACAAACACAGACACAGACAGAGACCAGTTCAAACACAAGACGTGAACTTTATTAAATGTAAAGAAATTATAAGTTTGAACACATCAACGATGCAACAACAACTATGCATTATTAGTTTTAAATGATATTAGTGGCGAATAAAAAATATGAAAGAAGATAAAATCACGTGGGTAATAAGAAATATAATCAGAGTTAAGACGTTATGGAGCTTGGCGTCTGCGTCCGGAGAGCTCGGGGAAGTCGTCTGGCATCAGAGCGTGATCTCTGCAGGTCGGACACGTGCTCTGCTCCTTCAGCCACGAGCGGATGCACTGAGGAGAGGAGAGGAGAGGAGAGGAGAGGAGAGGAGAGGAGAGGAGAGGAGAGGAGAGGAGAGGAGAGAGGAGAGGAGAGAGGAGGAGAAACGCTGAGTTAAAACCTGCAGCTCCAAAGGCTGGACCAATAAAACTGACAGCGCACAAGTGGGGACTAAAGACACAAATCAAAACTCAACTCAAAGGGCCAGTTTTATATATAAGACTATATAAAAATACATATATAAATATTTAATATATATAAAATAATGTATTATATTACATTATTGCCTCTGCATTGGATTATTATCGGATAGGGTAATAACTTCATAATTAACTACGTCTGAAAGCAGAAGTCTAGGGCAAATAATTGCAAGTCTCTTCAGGGAGAATGCCACAAAATGAGATGCATTGTGGGACATGTAGTTTATGGGCAACGTGCTTCTGTAAATCGGCATGTAACCGTATAATAAACATATTATATTCTTTCAGAGCTCTTGTGGGGCCACATGAAATGAAGTCACGGGCCGGATTTGGCCCCCGGGCCTTGAGTTGGACACCCCTGGTCTAAAGTAAAACTAGAAACTAGAATTATGAATTAAATGTTTGGTCTAAAGTAAACTAGTAACTTGAGTTGTCAAAGTAATTCATACTTTTTGACAGTTTTCCATACATTTTTAGATGAAAGGTCCGTGAACGGCTAAAGGAAATATATAAGACCTAACCACATTAAAGATATTTCAATACATTCTTCTTGAGGTAACTGAATAATACACTTTAATACGACTCTGTAAACTGATCTGATGCTGCCAGATGATCAAATAATCATCATTACCGCTTATTTCTTCAGTTTATAAAAGCGTTTTAACAAATAATTGCATCTTTTGAATGACTCTTATGGGACTATATGTTTTTATAACAAATGATAGTCAAACCTTCATAATGTGTCATGACATCCTCTCCTATGATGCTTTGTCTCACCTTGTCGTGGAAGCTGTGTCGGCACTCCAGCACACAGATGTCGTCCGGACTCATGTCCTCGTGACAGATGATGCACGGATCCTCCATGTTCAGCTGCAAAACAAAAACAAAAACAGAATTGAGTTAAGATGAGAAAGCTGAATTAATCCCAAAGTACCTTGTAGGGATACATTAAGAACTTTAAGTCAGTTTAGTTTTCATACCAACTATGTGCAATATATACCTGTCCGCTAAATCCTCAGAACTGTTACAGGATGTGTATTTTGTAAATTGTGTAATTTCTATTATAATTTTCTTAAAGGGGACCTATCATGCAAAATGCACTTTTTGATGTCTTTTATACATAAATGTGTGTCCCCGGTGTGTCAGGGAACTCACGCAGCGTCAGAAAAAACCCTCTCTTTTCCTCCGTACTCAAATCTCTAAAAACGGGGCTACAACGGAGCTGATCCAGATTAGCGTCCGATATGACGTAATATCTGAAATGTGGACCCACGGCCCTATCAGAAAGTTGCTATCAGAAACAATGCCCGACTGTTTTGGACGTAATATGGTCGTTGTTTACATTAGCATCGCTAACACTCAGAGCTAACCTGTACTGGAGAGCATGTGTGTGAAGAAGCAGGAAATAAAAAGGAACTCACCTTGTGGTATAACCGGCAAGAGAGAAAGCCTTTGAGCTCCATACTGTTTCAGAAATAATCCTTGATAATCCATGATATGGCGTTTCATCACGGCAGTATTTAGTTTAGACAGTAGCTGTCGGGTCCCGCATGAGCTCAGCCCCCTCCTTTTTTATTTTATCAATTTTTAAGCTTTATACCCCAAATCAGCACTTTTGAAACAGGAAGTGAAATAGAGGGATATGAGGCATGGCTAGAATGGGTTATCTGTTTGGCATTTTGAGCAAAACACTTCATAGACATGTTTTCTATATATTTTTATATATCTGAGACCTATGCTATTGCCTAAAAATAGCATGATAGGTGAGCTTTAACTTTAGTATTTTTTATATATATATATATATATATATATATATATATATATATATATATACACACACATATAGAAATGTATTTATTAGGATAAAGCTCTTGAGATGCACCATGTCGTTTTCAAGGGGGTCCCGACAAAATCAACATCTTACAGACATACATGAACACAATAACAGAAAGCAAAGCATGACAAACCACGTACAGTCTGTTAAGTAAAATTCATGAAGTAATACAAACAATCATTACAATTTGATAGACAGTAAAACTAATAAGAGTCATAGATCAGTTTCATCAATACCAAGAACAGCCCGAAAGTGAGATGGTAATGCACGCTGAAACACACCCAATGATGCAAGGGATCTAATAGTAGCAGGTAAATTATGCTTCTAAGGTAACATTAAGCTGTCTTTGGCTCTTTTCTGCTGTAACAATGTAAATGTCCCCTCTGTGGGACTAATACAGTTATTCTGATGTTCTAGAGCAGCGGTTTTCAAAGTGTGAGGCGCGCCTCCCTGGGGGGGCGCCAGAGAGCTTCAGGGGAGGCGCAGCATGAGAAAAAAAAGTAACGAGAACAAGATGAGTAAAGTGTCACTTGCACACTTTTGGCTGTCTGTGGAGACCGAGTTCCCCCACCTCGCCAAAAAGGTTGTAAAAGTGCTCATTCCCTTCACCTCCACCTACCTGTGTGAGTGTGGGTTTTCCGCATTGACTTTGATCAAAAGCAAGTACCGGTCAAGGCTGCAGCCAGAGGATGATCTGCGTTTATTCCTGTCTACATTGCATCCCCGCCAGAGTCCTGCACGGGTCTGATTTTCAAGACCCGCTCACGCCCCGCACCTGCAACGTGCAATACCGAACCCGCCCCGCCACCCGCACATATTGCCAATTAGTTCCGCAAACCGACCCGACCCGTCGGCACAAGATCCGCAAACCGACCCGAACCCGCATATTCTAGGAGCACTGAAAACATGCAATTATTAACACACGCAGTTGCGTATTTGGCTCAAAGAGTGTGGGATGTTGGTTATTTTCTCCATGACACCAAAAGCCTCCCAGACGTTGGATTTCGCTCTTGAGGAAGAGTTATTTACAATGCTGTATTCTCCGCTAGAGCTTCACCTCAGCCATTTCGAATGTGGCGCGCTCAGCAGCAGATTGATGCGGTGCAGAGGTTATGATTATGCCCGGTCCCGCGGGGGAGAGGTCCGATTGGGTCACCCGTCGGGTACCGACCCAATGCAGGACTCTGATCCCCGCAGGACTCTGATCCCCGCATCATCCGCCTGTGCGCATCAAAGACGCAGACTCATTGTTCCCAGCACTAAAGTAGGGGTGAGTGTAATAAGGAGGCAAAGTTGATGTTCAGTGTGTTGCCGGGAGCATATAAGGATTCATCCACGATGTTGAAAATGTAAAAAATGTTTAAAACAAATATTTAAAACAAAAAGATAAAAAGGTTTTTAAAAGTTATTTTGTAATGTTTTTAGGAGGTGATGCTACTCAGCCAATCAAATCGGTGCAGTCAGTGAGTCAGCACGATAGATTCAAACACACAGAGACGAGACAAGAAGAGAGAAACAGTCGGAGTAACTTCAAATGGCGTGCTCAAAAAAGAGAAAGGTAGACAGCGAAAACAGAGCATTTAATGACATTTGCTCTTACTGGACCTCTTTGAAATGCAATTGAATACCCCTGCATTATAGCAACAACAACAATAATAATAATAATAATAATAGCAATAATAATTGGGAGGGGGGGCGCGGCTGTTCTCATGTTCTCTGAGGGGAGGCTCACCTTCCCAGACTTTGAAAACCCCTGTTCTAGAGTTATCCTGCAGGTCTTACTAAGGACTGATTTCAGGACTTACTGCATCAGAGTGTTTGACTCTCGGGTGTCCCATCGGTTGCCAGACCGGCGCGGCGCACTGAGCCGGACTGCCACGTCCTTTGGCGTTCAATTTGGCCGCATTTAGCTTCTCCTGAAAGAAAGAAAAAATATGATTAAAAAAAATAATAATTGTGATTTTCACTTTTTATGACATTTTTACAACATACTATAGCATGACGTTTTTTTTGTTGACATTTCTTTAACATTCAGAGCATGACATGTTTACTACATTCTATGCTATGGCTTTCTTTCAATGCAATTTTTCACAACATACTTAACCTGTTCCACTCTGAGCCTGTTTTTCAGGTCTCAGGCTCGAAAATGACATTCCCAGAACAAATGACCATATCTTCCCTTCTAAAAGGGTTAAATTAATAATCTTTTTTCTCAAAGTAATGATAAACCTGTGAGTTGGATGTCGAAGTGTCAGAATCAATATAAATGTTTTTTATTTTAAAGAAAATTCAGATTTTACATAGTAAAAAACTGTAAATTATAGTGTCCGTCCAAAAATTATTTTTTACAGATAGTGAAAACTACCCTTGGATGATGGGTTAGTAGACTAAAAGCTTTAGGAATCCAAAGTACAACATATAATAAGTACCCTGTATCAAGATTGATGCAAAACAAGTGAAATTTGACCTTTTTAGAGAGATTTAGCCAAAAACTGGGCCATCTGGGGTCATTTGGGTGGATTTGACCTATCTCTGGCCCCCCTTGCTCGATTTGGTTGGTTGACATACCCTTGTGACCGTTAGAGCCAATAGAATCGAAGGAGGAGACTCACATACACACACATTGTAAAGTAAAAATGTGGCCAATTCGCGTGTGGAAAACGAAACCAAACTGGAGGAATGTCTCCTTCTGGAGTTTGGAAACTAAAACGCAGTTGTATTGCTTATGGATTATCAGAAATAATTTCAAAGAAGGCACAGACACATAGGATGAACCTATGGATTAACTGCAGCATCGTTTTTTTATCGTTTTAATGCCATTGAAGACCACTTTTGACCAAGGTAAGCCATATTTACATGTTTAGCTTCTTAGCTCCACATGTGATGATGTACGCTTTCGTTGATAGCGTCGCGAATGTTTATCACTGAGTGTTGAGGTGGGCACCGGTAGATTCAGTGTCTCCAGGACACCAAAAACGAGTGGTTGGCTGTGCATCTAGGATAAGTAATAAGGGAGTTATGAGTGAGTTTAAGTGCCTTTGTAGGTCCCGTTTTTTCGATCGAGGCTAATTCAGTGCTAGCATTGTGGGTTTTTTTTGAAAAAAAAAATTAAAAAGATCAGTTAGCTGAGTTTCTTCCCGTTACATGGATATAACACATTCATAGTTTTATTCAATATTAAGATTCCTTAGACGTTGTTTCCTGCAAATTACGCGTTTATCCGCCCGGTACCGGGGGGAAGGTGTGAAACAGGTTAAAGCATGAGATTTTTTCCGACATACTATAATATGGCTTTTTCCCCCGACACACGGGCATTATGGCATTTTTATAAAATATACTATCATATGTTTTAAGTAGGGCTGTCAGTCGATTAAAATATTTAATCGCGATTAATCGCAAATTAATCGCACATTTTTTATCTGTTCTAAATGTACCTTAGAGGGATATTTTTCAAGTTTTTAATACTCTTATCAACATATGAGTGGACAACTATGCTTTATATGTTTGTTTATTATCATTTGAACAATGACAAATATTCTCATGAATATTAAACACAACAACCTCTGAACATTACAAATATTCGCCTCAATTCAACCTAGAACCTCTCTCATACAATACTGTGTGTGTGTGTGTGTGTGTGTGTGTGTGTGTGTGTGTGTGTGTGTGTGTGTGTGTGTGTGAATCGTTGGAGCTATGTGCGTGTGTGTGTGTGTGTGTGTGTGTGTGTGAATGTGGAGGATCGTTGGAGCTATGTGCAGCTCAAGGCATATATGCCTGTGTGTATGAGCTGTGTTGCGGCACTATCCGTGCTGAGTGTGCTGTCTGGCTACCTGCATAAAGTCAAGTGCTCGGCGCAGTTGTCGGCGAAATGTCGCTCCTCTGTTTTCATTGAAACAGCTCCTTATATGCGTTAGCTCAGCTAGCTAGCACCAGATGCTAACAACAACACGTAAGGTGTGCTTCGCTCGCGCCACACATACACACACCCTCCCGGTCCTCCCGATGGCCAGTCCGGGCCTGCCGGTGAGCGTGGAAGTGTGGTCTGCCACAAGCGGGCAGCAGGAGCGGGGCTGTCAGCATCAGCTTGTAGATGGTATTTTAAACTCGATGCGCTCTGAAACTACGGCGGCCGAGGACAAAAAATACACATGCGTTAATCGCGTTAAAATAATTAGTGGCGTTAATTTTTTTTTGCGTTAACGCGTTATTAACGCGTTAACTTGACAGCCCTAGTTTTAAGACATATTATGGTATGACATTTTTACATATTATACATATATGTCATGGCCAGAGGTGGGAAGTAGTGGAGTACAAATACTTAGTTTCTGTACTTAAGTACATTTTTCTGGTATCAGTACTTTACTCCACTACTTATTTTTCTGACGACTTTTTACTTTGACTTCTTACATTTTGAACACAAATACCTGTACTTTCTACTTCTTACATTTTGAACACAAATACCTGTACTTTCTACTTCTTACATTTTCCAAACAGGCTGGTTCCTTTAGTTTGAATGTGTGTTTGGTGGCGTGATCATTATTATTTAGAGTCATTGCGTGCCTATTGATTTGAACACGATCCGTGTATCCATCATTTCCTGGTCTTCTCTAAAGAAGAGGGACCAATGAAAACGTTGTCATGTTGCCGTTGTTCAGCATGGAAACATTCATTAGCTAACAATGACATTATTGTTCTATTAATATAAAGGGAGGTCAGGTACTCTTTAAAACAGCTGCTAGTTATGGGTACTTTTTACTTAAGTACATTTTAAAGCCCATACTTCTTCATTTTACTTGAGTAAAGAAGTTTAGTCAGTACTTCTACTTTTTCCAGAGTATTTCTAAACACGAGTATCTGTACTTCTACTTGAGTAAAGGATGTGTGTACTTTTGCCATCTGTGGTCATGGCTGAGGTCTGAAAGTTTGGCCTTTAAACCCTACCTGATGGTCCAGGATCAGCTGGGTCACTCCTCCCACCATGTCCTGCAGAGCCATGTTGTTCAGACTGCCTCCGCTGGAGAAACGCAGGTCCTGAACGAACCTCATCAACTCTGGCCTGAAGATAAACACAGCAAATGTACTTCAGTGTCAACATTTGTTCTGCGAGTGTAAACCTGCAAGTTGAATAATGCGTGATGCTTAATAGAAGCAAAATAATAAATTCCTCAAGTAGAAATTATACCTTGGAGTCTTAAAAGTCTTTTGTATTTGCCAAAATATCACGAACAAACAACTCAATCATGATGGAGATTCAACAAGTGTTTCTGTTTGAGACATGTTATAGTTGGAATAGAAAAATGTTAGAAATAGCAGATAAAACGGATCGAAGAGTGAAAATATAAAAGTTGACCCTGAGGAAAAATATCTGTAAAGATCTGACGAATAAAACAAACCATAACACAAAATAAATAAATTCCACTGGAAACGTATACCTAGGAGTCTTAATCGTTGTATTTGCCAATATATCAAGGAGGAGATTATATAGTTTGAATAGAGAAATGTTGGCTCTTTTCTAAATAACCTTGTATACAGCTACCGTCCTGAAGGCTCTTATAACATACACTCTACTGAAGTTAAATTAAATGCCATGGTCTAATAAAAAAGGTCACAGGGTTAAACCGTCTGAGGTAAACTTGGCACCAGTTCAAACACAAGACATGTTGTTTATTCAATGTAAAGAAATTGTAAGTTTGAACACATCAACGATGCAAATAAACTATGCATTATTAGTTTTAAATCACATTAGAGGAGAATAATATACCGAGTAAATACCATGGTCTAATCAAAAAGGTCACAGGGTTAAATTGACCGAGGTAAACTTGGCACCAGTTCAAACAGATGTCGTTTATTCAATGTAAAGAAATTGTACGTTTGAACACAACGACGCAAATAAACTAAGCATTATTAGTATTAAATCATATTAGTGGCGAATAATATACCGAGTAAATACCATGGTCTAAAAAAAGGTCACCGGGTTAAACTGAGGAAATCTTTTCATGAGTGCTGTACCTCTTATAGTCGGGGAACATGGAGACCAGGCGCTCCATCGCTTTCTCGAACACGGTGCCGTGTGCAGACTCCATTGTTCTGGGGGGGGGGTTTGTAAGGAGCAGCTGCAGACGGCTGGGAGTACGAGGGGAGGCTGTGAGAGGCTGAGGGCGGGGGGGTAGCTGCAGACTGTCTGGCAGCAACTGACACCTGAAACATTATCAGAAAAGAACAGTTTTTATTGTTATTATTGTCGACTTGGAATTGATTTTTCCTTTGTACATGTGATGTTTTGGTGTTTTGTTTCTTTGGGAACTAAGTTTTTGTGTTTCTCTGATTATCCTACAATACTGTTAAGATTGGCTGTGAATAAGAAAATATGAAGGACAGACCATCTATTTCTATTTATTTATTTTCTTTGAGAAAGGGGCAGGTAATATAAGATTATTTTTCTTCTCCCTGCTCCTTTTCGGGTATGGTGTGTTTATAGAGACATGTTTTGTAAATCATTTTTATACATTAAGTTGCATTAAGTGCATACCATGAACGGAACAAATAAAAATGAAATTTTGCAGCCGTTTCTGGTAGATGTTTTGTTCTTTCAGAGATAAACGAAGTACTTCTGTGCCAATCTGATCTTATCGTGTAGCAATAGATCTAGTGGTTACTCTGGAAGACCAATGTTTAATTTAGTGCCTTTAGCCATCAGGCTGCACAACAAGAGGTCAACAATGTGACACAATTACTGGACATAAAATACACACTGTTTTCACACACACATGTAAATATATCTAATATGTATATATGTTCATTTTAATTCATTTCTTATTTTATAGTTATTTTATCATTTTAAATTTGTATCTTTGATTTAATTAATCTGTGCTGTTTTTCATTCTTACCCTGTTGCTGTTAAAATACTGAATTTCCCCACAGGGATTATTAAAGGTCCATCTTATCTTATTGTTGTTATTGTCGACTTCCAAATGATTTTGCAGTCGTTTCTGGTAGATGCATTTTTCTTTTAGAGATAAACAAAGCACTTCTGTGCCAATCTGATGTTATCGTGTAGCAATAGATGTAGTGGTTACTCTGGAAGACTAAAGTTTAATCCTAAATGAACAAACTCCAAAATAATCAATTGCTTGTATTGTTTACAAATAGAGCTGCACTGTTTCCTTTCTTCCAACATTAATAACTGCATCCTAATGCACTAATATACATTCTCAAAGATATTGAAATGACTGTTATTTTGTATATATTGATTGTTGTGCTTTTATTTAGATCTAAATGTGTGCATATGTATACATGTGTCTGTTGATTGTGATATATATATATATATATACACACATATATATATACACACATACATACATACACACACACACAGGTATATACATATTTTTATATTGATTTGTTTTGTATTCGGGATTGTGGGAAACGGTATTTCCATCTAGTACACACAAACTGAAAGATTGACAATAAAGTTGACTTTGATATCTTGAACTGGTAAACAAGTCTTACCGGCGCAGCAGGAGGGTTTGGCTGGTTGCTAACGGCGACGGGAATTAACTCGCTGACTCTCCTGCCGTTCTTCACCTGGTCGAGCTGCTCCTGGTACTGCGCCTGTTAAACGTAGAGAGTCTTATAAACACACATCGTTCCTTCAGACATCTTTATCACATTTATTGTAATTCATTATTACAAAGTCGGCTCGGGCCTCATCGCTCCAGATTTACAAAAAAACTAATCAATAAAAAAAAGCCTAGTAGCATTTTCAGTTTATAAGATAAGATATACTTTATTGATCTAAAAATGGGAAATGTTGTAGTTGCAGCAGCATGCAAAACAATTAGAAATAATTAAAAAAAAAGAGTAGAAAATAAACAATTATACAATATAAAAAAAGAGTGAAGTTGACTGTGAAGAAAAATATCTGTTAACTATCTGATAAATAAAACACTGTTGAAGGGCTAAACTACAGCTAACACAATATAAAAAGGGGGATATTATTTATATTTAGTGTGCAAGAATGGCATATTAAATTAAATATAAATGCGCGTCACGTGTAAATTAACCATTGGTGCTCGAGTTGACTGCCTGAACTAGATGGCAGTTTTCGTCCCATATGTGGACTATGTGTAGCATGTGTAGTAGGGTGGTCCTTCGTGAGAGGTACATTTTTTGAATTCATTTATTTTAAGCTCCAATCACCGGAATTCGTTCTAGTCAAGAAAACTCTCCTGGTGAATTTTATTCCTCAATCTGACAACATGTACCCCTCCCTCATCAACCTGGGCTGCCACACCAGCAGCCACGGTGCTGCAACTGAGGCTAAACTTCAAGGTTGATGAGGGAGGGGTAAATGTTGTCAGATTGAGGAAAAAAAATCGACTCAAATGGGTCAATTTAAAACTGAAAACTAACCCTAACCTACATCCCAACTTCACAAGAGGCTTAAAGGTCCCATGTCATGGCCATTTCTACTGATCATAATTCCATTGTTGAGGTATACTAGAATAGATTTATATTGTGCAATTTTCCAAACTCACATTGGTTTCTCATACAGCATCTCTGTATAGTATGTGTATTCACTCTCTGTCCTACACGGCTTGTTGGAGCTCCTGCCCCCCCCCTTCCTATGAGCCCAGTGGCCGTCTGCGAGACAGCGAAACCCAGCCCGAAACACACACACACACACACACCCGCAGCCTGGCTGGGAGTTTGTGTGTGTGCTCACACACCGACTCACAGCCTCGCCGCGTCCCGCCGTCTCAGGGAGGAGAAATCGGCGGAGCTGCAGCTGAGTAAAGATTGAGTGTGTGTGTGAGGAATTTGGGACGTATTTGGGACGTTACGTTACGTCCCAAATACATCACTATACCCAAGAAGTAAACAATGGAAAAAGAGAAATCTCCAACGAGGCGTTCTGGGGCAGCACAGACAGGTCTTTTCTGTGTTGGAGTTTTACTCGCTACAGGGTGTACTTTGAGGGTTTGTGACTCTGCAGACCGTTTACATGCATACAAACCTTCATAACACACAAGGGGACGGGTAATAACCGGAAAAGCATGACATGGGACCTTTAAAGAATATTGTTATTGTTCTCCAAGAGTGAGATGTAGTGGAGTTGAAGAGCACGATAAGACATGAGCACAAGCCTCTCAGTGTGTAATGATCTTGTTTTGTTGCAGTGTGTGAGATGCATTCAAGTACCTCAGCAGAGGAGATTTTCTTTTCCACATCCTGGATGTTAACTCTGCAGCTGTTTCGTGTTAATTCCACGTCTGGGGTTGGGTATCTAGGGAATGACACAAGGACATTTACACAATAAATCAAAGCTGATAAAAACATTTGTATTCTGAGTGAAAGTTTTCCATTAAAAAGATTCAAAGGTTTGATTGTCAAATAGAATATGGGATATGTACAAGAACAGAATATGAAATAATGTAAATTAAATAAAGTTTATTGCAGTGATAATTATTTATATAAATTAATTAGTAGATTGCAAGATGACAACAGGAATGTTTAATTAATGATCAGAAGACAGCAGAGTTATTGTCGACATCCAATTGATTTCACAGCCGTTTCTGGTAGAAGTATTATTCTTCTAGGGATAAACAAAGTACTTCTGTGCCCATCTGATCTTATCGTGTAGCAATAGATGTAGTGGTTACTCTGGAAGACCAAAGTTTAATCCTAAATATACAAACTCTCAAATGATGTCTTTATATATTGCTTTTATTGCTTACAAATAGGGCTGCACTGTTTCCTTTCTTCCAACTTTAATAACAGCATCATATCTTCTAGCTTGTTGATGAACTGCAACAAGCTGTAGTGGTAAAATATCTGCAGCAATAGATGTAGTGGTTACTTTGGAAGTTTAATCCTAAATGAACAAAAATAAGGTCTTTATATATTGCTTGTATTGTTTACAAATAGGGGCACTTAGCAGAGCTCAGGTGTTTAGCAGTGTTGTGGCCTGTGGGATGAAACTGTCCCCGAGTCTGGTGGTTTTTGTGCGGATACAGCGGTACCGAATGTTTCTGATTTCCTTTGTGTTCTTTTACCTGTGAGCTGCTTCGTCCAGTTTGCTCAGCAGAGCCTTGGCGTTGCTCAGATCTCTGTAGAGGAAAAACAGACCCTGATCCCGACTGCTCTCCACCACCAACACCTGAGGAGGAAAACAAACGGGCTTCAAAACTCACACAAAACTCATGCCTAAGGCGCGTTCACACTGCAGTACTTTTCCCACTTTAGTTCCGATATAGTTCCGAATTGTCGCGTTCACACCAAAAAAATCCGGAACTGAAATCAGTTAATGAGAACCTTTTCACCCCCTTTTCCATCCCTGCTAGAGAGCAGGTACTTTGGTGGGAGAAAAAGGTTCCTATGTCTGATTGGCTGGGCGGATTGCAAACCACGCCCCGTAAAACACCCAAAAAGTTTTGTGAAGCTGCCACTTTATTATCCTCGCATTAGCATTATTAGCATTAGCATTAGCCCAGCGCAGAAACGCAGAGAGACTAACTTATGGCAACACAAAAGAAAACATGGGAGCGGTGGAGATGAGGTGTCGGCGTTCAGTAGAAGCCAGTCCCCAACTCCGGGGACTTCCGGCCGGGGACTTCGGGTGGCAGTATACGCCGTGAAGTTGTTTGCAGCCTGCCAGTAAACCCAAAGCAGAAGAAGAAGAAGAAGGGACGTCAGCGGCTTCATTTGCCTAATCCTCCCCCAGGGATTTATTCCGGTGTGAACGCGATCTGTACTTAGTTCATGAGAACCAAAGAGTTCATGAACTAAGTTCTGATGAACCTTTGTGGGAAAAGTACTGCGGTGTGAAAGCTCCTATTTTGTATTCGTCTGCCTGTATTGTTTTGTGTTCATTTGTTGTAACTTTGTTCATGCTGCCCTTCTTGGCCGGGTCGCTCTTGAAAAAGAAATGTTAATCTCAATGAGACTTTTTACCTGGTTAAATAAAGGATATATATATATACACATGCCAATTCTGTGTTTTATTCATCTTTACATTCATCTGTATTTGTCTTTGTGCTGCTGGAACAGCCACATTTCCCTGTAGTCAAATTTGTATATTCAGGGATTCACAAAGAATAAATGTCAAGACAAGATGAACTCTCTAAATTAAATGTGTTTTTTTAGCATCAACACCTTGATCAGGGGTGTCAAACTCAAATACACAGTGGGCTAAAATAAAAAAATGGGTACTAGTCGAGGGCCGGACTGGTTCAATGTTTATTGCAAAACTTATTGAAATGAATTTATTGCACATATTAAACCTGGAACTAACAAAGCTTAAATTATTGCCTATAAAAACATTAAATAATCAGTTGCATTCATTTCTTATGGCTCTATCTGCAGCTTTTCCAGAGTCATTTCTTATGATTACATTTTCCCACAGGCCAACAACAGCTTCAAAAAAACTGTTTCCCTCAAAGAAAAAACCAAACATGCCCTGTTGTCGTGAGAGAAAAAGTGCAGAAGGAAACATCCATGTAAACTCAAGTGTGCTGCTCTGTGATGCTAGTTCAAGCCAGATACTTGGCATCTCATCTTGGGTGCAAGTTCATCAATGATTGGGGTCAGGCTCTGAGCTGAGGAGATCCTCAGGATTGAGTGAAGGTGTGCGTGCAATATACCAGCAGACCAGATCTAATAGTAATTAGAAATTATCCTGCGGGCCGAAATTAAATCCACCAAGGGCCTGATTTGGCCCCCGGGCCTTGAGTTTGACACATGTGACCTAAACTCTTACCTGAGCGGAGTGAGACCTCCTGGTGGCCGAGGTCAGCGAGACCTGACAGCGCTTTATCTCATCCTCCAGACTCATCTTCTCGGCTGCTGATTGATTGCTAAAAGATGAAAAAATTGAATTAGACATTTTTAAAAAAAGAGTAGAAAATAAACAACTATACAATATAAACATCTAAAAAAGAAGATAAAACCGAACGAAATGAGTGAAAATATAAAAGTTGATCTTGAGGAAACAATCTGTTAACTATCTGACAAATAAAACACTACTGAAGGGCTAAACTACAGCTAACACAATATAAAAAGTGGGATATTATTTACATTTAGTGTGCAAGAATGGCATATTAAATTATATATAAATGTAAAATGTACAGTGAGAAAAAGTTATAAGTCCAGTTATCAAAGATAATTTTCATCACTCACCTCAGCTCAAGGAAATCATTCAACTTATTGTCAAAGCTGTTTTTCTTCTCTCGGATTATTTGGGTAAAACTGAGGGAGAAAAAAAGACAAATTCAAAAAGTGATTTTCAACAAGTTACTCGCTGACCATTCAATCGATCAAGAGAGGAGAGAAGAAACAAATGCACGGTTGTAAAAGGCAAAATATGAATCTTGCAAAACAAACGCAACAGTTTATTCTTTACTGCATTTATAAAAAATATCAATAAAAGCCCTGGCTTCAAAACGAACGTACAAACACAAGAAATAAGTCATTATTTTGTCTCTAAGATGTAGTGAAGTAGTAGTAATTCTACAAGTACTTAAAGCAGGGGTGTCCAAACTACGGCCCGCGGACCATTTTGAATCGGCCCTCAGCTAATTCAAAAAGTATAATGACTTAAGTATAATAAACTTCTGCTTGTCTTATATTGTACTTCTTAAATATATATGTTCAAATATATTACACAGTATTCATATATTAATAAGCCCAAAATAAATTAAGTTAATTAAAGTTGAAAACATGTTCTAACAAATCTAAGTTGATGAGGAGAAAACCCAATAACAAATGTACATAACCTTGAAATAGACCCTTCATATTTCATCTTATTATTAGCAATCTGAAGCTTCTGTTTTAAGGAATGAGCCGCTAACAAAATGAATTAAACCCTCCGGAGAGCTGTGAGCTGTTTTTTTACTAACAGCATTTTCAAGTATCAAGAATAATTTACCTACTTTTGATTGATTTTTCTAACTTAACTTAGATAAGTTAAGATAAGTATATTTTTCTGTATGTGACCCTCGGTGAAAAAGGTTTGGACACCCCTGACTTAAAGTAAGACATTTTTTCACCGGGTGATTTCTCTCACCTCCTGTGTTGCGTCACCAGATCCTCCGTCTCCACCTTCAGAGCCTTCAGACCCTCCTGGTTCGCTCTCTTCTCCTTCTGGTCCTTCTTCACCTCCTCCTCCAACTTCTGCTGGAACATCCCCAGCTCCTGATTGGTCACCTGCACCACGGAAAACAACCGGACACACTTTCAGATACAGTCAAAGTCAACTTTATTGTCAATCTTTCAGTTTGTGTGTACAGAGAGATCGAAATACCGTTTCCCACAATCCCAAATACAAAAACAAATATATATAAGAATATGTATAAAAATATGTATATACCTATATATACACATTCAAAGGACACATTTATACATATGCACACATTTAACAATCAATATATTCAAAATAAGTCACTTCAATATCTTTCAGAATGTACATTAGTGCAAGATAGGGGTGCATACCGGTTCCCGGTATTACCGAAATACCGGTTACTGGCGGCTACGGTATACCGTACCGAAATCAGATCCGTTTTTTTATAAAAGTGAGGCGTAATATCCTTACACTCGCGCCCAAACCATCGGAATTACGATGTCAATTTCGCCGTGAAACTCCGCAAACGAGTCACTTTAGAAAGTCTAAAGTGTGGCTGCATATGACTGCCAGTCTGAATGGTGGGGTCTGTAACCACTGCAAGAAGTTTATTTCTGGGAAAGGTGGCAACACATCCAACCTCCAACCAATGCTGTCTCGTATGGCAACCAAGTACCTTTGTGTTCAGGGAAGTAGCGTGCCAAGCTAGAGTGTTCAGTTTAGCAGGTGATATCCTACGCTGTGAAAGGGCCCGTTTGGATCCAGAGAGAGTTCAGTTTAGTAGGTGATATGCTACGCTGTGAAAGGCCCCGTTTGGATCCAGAGAGCAGATATGCTCACCTTCTTGAAGATGAATGCACAAAACTGAACTGTGATGGGATTAGTTTTCTTTCATCAGGCAAATGTTGATTTTAATGATGCTATTTGTTTTATGTGCAATGCCGAGATCTCATGATCCTTTATGTGTTCTCTGGTCAGTCGAATCTCAGGTTGAATATTGATTATACTGGTGCCATTTTCTTTTTCCATTGACAAGATGTACTATTCACGCCTGATGGTTGATATAAATGATATTGCAGAATCAGTTTTCTTCATAGATAACGTGTTTTTCATTGTTTGTTCAGTACTGAAAGGTCTAAGTCCCACAATTGAATTTAATATTCATTTGACATGTTGACTATATCATAAAGCGTTTCATGGGAGTAATTGCGGGATGATTCAATTTTTCCCTTATGCAACATGAAAGTATCACGATATGTATCGGTTGAGTATCGGTATCGTTCAGTGGTATCGGTATCGTAAAAAAGTCAACGATATGCAACCCTAGTGCAAGACTGTCCATAGTGTAAAAAAAGTGTCTGGTGCTGGAGAGAGCATGATTTGTACATGTTTTGTTTAAAGTAACATGTAAGTTGATGTTATAAGTTGTCAGTATAACAGCGTATGGAGCTACCTGTATGTTGGTGGTGATCTGCTGAACCTCTCCTTCCAGGACAGCGAGGTCTTCTTTGTGCGTCAGGTTGACTTTGTCGCAGTCTTTCGACATTTCCTTCATGCTCTGCTCCAACATCCTTCCGCTGTGTTGCTTTTTGTTGATGTCACCCTGTATCAACAACAACAAAATGTTAGTACTAAAAACCAAACAACTTAAAAGATACGTTGCAATAGATTGAAGCAAATAAATGCCATACTAGGTTTAAATATCAAGTTTCCATAGAACATTTGATATTCATTTGTTTAAATGAAAACAATGATTTGTTTTCATTTAAACAAATCATTGTTTAAATTAAACAATGATTTGTTTTCATTTAAACAAATCATTGTTTAAATTAAACAATGATTTGTTCATTTCGATAAACAAATCTAATCTGTTTATCTAAATGAACAGATGGAGATGCTAATTATGTCAAGTGCCATTAGGGTATTGCACAATAAGGGGCATTACCATGAATAGTCTATCATGCTTTTATCATTCAAGGCATCACTTTGTTTTTTTAAATAGCAGATGAATAAGGATCAAGTGTCTCCATTAAATAGCTTGTACAGCAGAAAACAAGTGAAAAAGTATACGTTTTAACAATTAGGTTAAGTGTCTTGGTCACACGAGACATCTGTATCATGAATCTTTGTTGACATTAATGCAATGAAAACAAATAAATACAACTCACCGGGCAGCTCTCAAAACGCTCATGAATCTCTGTATTCACCGCTACACTCCTCACGGTCTCATTGCACGTCTGTGTTTGAAACAAAAGAGCATTTTAACTTCCCACACAATTCATATTTCATCTAGTTCATTTTAAAATTATTATAAAGTGTTTGGTATGTACCTGTACAGCGGCATGTTTCTTCAAAATGCTTTCATCAGATGAAACAGACGATGTTTCAGAAACTCCTCGATCCCAAGCAGTGGGAAGTAGATCCAACGCTCCGTAGTCAGGTATAAAGTAAGGGTCTTGCTTTTCATCGTCACCATTGCTCCAGGCGTAAAATGAATTATTAACTCCAACAAAGGCAGGCGCATGAGGCAGGGGGGCAAATGCATATGGATTTGGGAGAATGGGATGGACATTCTGTGCGTATGAATAACCGTTCTGATCGCTAGGGAAAGCACTAAAACTACCCTCGTCCAAACCAGGACACGGATACTCAATGTCGGGATCGGTGATATCGTCCAGGTCGTCCAAACTGGCTCCGTGTCCGGCCTGCTGCAGAGTGACGGCGTGTTTAGCCAGGCCGATGCACCGCCCCATCTTTATGAAGCGCAGAGACTCCAGGAGGAAGACCTCGAAGCCGCCCATTTCCTGGATCTTGTCTTTAGCAACGACAGGGAAGTTCTCCAGCTCTCCTACCAGCAGAGGGTCCTCAGCAACCAGCGGACCGTGCTCCTCCAGGATCTGAGCGAAGTAGCTGTGGAGAGACGAGCAATTATTATTATTATCAGCAGGGATGGGTACCGTTAGGATTTTATCGATTCCGATACTGCTTATCGATACCGGTATTTTTTTATACTTTTCAATAATTTGGTGCTCAAAATTATTGACATGATTACAAGAAGTGAAGATTAAACAGTCATTTTATTGTAATTTATTTTTATTTAATGTAACTTTTTCAATGTCATACCAAGCAGGTATGAGTGTGTTTGACAGTGTGTCTCTGGAAGCGGGGCGGTAATTAGGGGCAGTTCATAAATCCATGTAAACATGACCATTATTCAGTTAAGACGAGACGCTGCGTGCGCACCTCCTAAACCGGAGGCTCCGGTCGGCTAACCATTATATTGCATTTATTATTTATAATTGTAATGATGGATTATCACTTTATCAGTAATCATTTTAAAGTTACACAGAGACATTGGATTAACTGTTTTTATGCCCTTAAACACAACTTTTGATCACAAAACAGCAAAGGTAAGACATAATTATCATCATGGCTACGTAAAGTGAAGTTGTTTTCTTACTCTTTCCTGGCTGCTAGTTCAGTGAGTTTTGGTCGTACAGTGATGAGACTTATACCAATGGAATCAGCTTTCATGTGATATGTTGTTTGTGCAGATACAATGACGTAGAAAAGATCGCTTTTGCCAGTTATGTGCTAAAGTAGCCGTTAGCCCGTTTTGCTAAGTGTTGATTTAGACTTTTGGTGTTGGACTTCTGTTCCGTGTAGCTAAAATGGTTAATATCGTCTGTTAGCTGAGTTTCTTCCCGTTAAGTGGGTATGCATCATTAATAGGTTGTTAAATGTTAAGAAGCCTTGAGACGCTGTTTCTTGTCTGTTGCGTCTGCCCCCGGGAGTCTCACAATAATAAGAGCGCTGTTGGGAGAGATGACGAGTGGCATTCACAGTGGCTAATCAGGGTGGTACTCAAACCGGATACGTCACACGGGATGAGGGTTCCCAACCAACCAGAATTGTTTAAACAAAGGAAGTAGCGTAATTCATATACCGATAGCAGCACCGTTTGTCCAGCGGCTTAACGGTATACCAATACCGTCCAATCAGGTACCGGTACTGACTTAGTACCGGTTCTCGATACACATCCCTAATTATCAGGGACTCAGTTTTATCCCACAGGCCATAAGACTGCTAAACACCTGAGCTCTGTTAAAGGTCCCCTATTATACTGTTTTTCATCAATATATTACAGGTTCCAGATATATACAAAACATGTGTCTGAAGTGTTTGGCTCAAAATACCAAGCAGATCATTGCAGCATCCCATAAACAAAAATTGAGACAGAAATACTGAGGAGGAACCGAAGCCATTATCTCTGCTCTATTGAAAGCCATCGGACTCCTTTCACAAGAAACGTAATTTAAACTCACAGGACACACAAACTAAGGCAGAGGTAGACCACACCCATTGGTTTTCTGTGAGGTTAAATTACAGGTTTTGTAACAGGTGTCTATGCATTGAACACAGCATTAGTTCCCCGTCAGAAAGGCCTGTATTAGGGCAAAGTAAATCAGTGACAATATCCTTTTGATAGCATACACTTAAACTTGTATTTATTTGTATCTTGAGGGTTTTTTTAAGAGGCTAAAATAAAATGCACCCCCGTGAGCCAGCACATTTTGTATTGGCCAAAGGGTGGTACTAGACAATGAGACCTTTATATATTTGCATAAACGTCACTGTACGAACACTTGAATAGCCCTTATTGAATATATATATATATATGTATTTTATTCATGCCAACGAGCTGCTGATGTTAATGTCTCAAATGTTTTCGTTATTTTACAGCACTTTGGTCGATGTTGGTTGATGTTGGTTGATGTGAGTTATAAGAAAATGTGTACTCAAATACAGTAAAGGATATCTGTTTTATTGGTTTCTATGTCCATATATATATTCATGTTGCAATGTTCGAGAAGCCTGTGATCTAAGTTTTTTTATTGCCATATCTACACTGTAGCTAATGTGCACATGACAATAAAGCCTTGACGAATGATTGAAGGTTGTACTCACTCATACAAACTCTCTTTGGTCGGGTCGGGGTTGTTGTCCAAAATGTTTTTATAGTGACTTCTGTGTCTCGTGGTGTTGTACTGGTCCTCAAAAATGGCCACTTGCTCTCGAAGGTGACTCGGGACACTGAAGGGATCACCGGGGTGAAGGAATGATCTGTTGAAACCCAGACGTTATTTATAAAAAGGAGTTGTTAAAATAACCGTTATAATTCTTATCTGTGTTTCCAATTTGGAGGTTGAGGGACTTGCAAAGTGTCATCTTCAAAAAAGTCTTGGTCCCATTCCTCTCTCTGCGTTTGGCTGCTGTTTCCAGACCAAACAATAACACCCTGAGAGGAAGATGAGAGGACACACTTCAGAAAGACGCAAAAAAAAAAAGACACTTCTTTACAAGCTATGAGGGAAAATCTGAATTCTTTGCACCTTTGGTCCTTTTTTCTTTTTCCGGGCTCGACTCTTCAAAGGAGAATTCTGAAATCAAATCAAATTGAATAAGAATCAATTGACGTTTCATTCATAGTATACAACATATGGAGTCTTTTACACGATTTGAGTGTCAATTCTACTTACAAAACACTTGTTATAAAACAGGTAAGTCAAATCAAGCAATCTGATTGGTTCTTAGCCGTGATATAATGAGCGTATATCACGGGTAGAATTGTAGTTACTTTTCACAAGTCAGTATCCCTCCGCGTCTGAGAAAAAGCTACAACCTTTACAACTGTTACATTACGTCCGTTACGAAACTAACTCACTAACAAAGCTTAATATGGAAACATTTAAGGTTGACTTCGATCTCCGGGGTGGCCTTACTATGGAGGAGTGGATTGAGCAGTGCCTATCTCCAGAAAAAAGAGCACCTAAACGACGACATGCAGAGCATCGTGAAGAGCAGGTAGACCAACTGGAATACAACCGAAACGAACCATTCAAAAGCTTTCTGATGCGGGTCTTGAAACAAAGCAGAGAAAAGATGACCGTTAGTGGCCACAGGTGCGAAAGCTCTCTCCAGAGCTACTGGAAGCCGAATCTCAGGGACCGGAGAAAGTGGAGCAATATTCTCGCCACGCCAAGCAACAGCCTAGAACAGGGGTCGGCAACCCCTGGCACGCGTGCCAGCATTGGCACGCGGCACCGTAGCCAGTGGCACACTAGGAATAAGTCGAATAAGTGTGCAAAATATTTAAATTGTATTTTCGGATCCTGAACGAGACCGCCGCCAGAGCGCGTCTCCCCGTTACCTGCAGAAGGAAGCCATGCACGCAACCCCGCTCTCTTTAACTCCAGGTGACTTTCTGCCGCTTTCCTCCGTGGTGCAGTGCTGATCGTTTCACCACGGAAGAAAGCACTTCACAAATTGCAGTACCCATAAGGAGCTTTACAAATGTCGCAGTTTTTTTTATCACCATCTCACTCTGCATGACCCTAATATCATAACATGTGTGTTCTGGAGAATCACAGAACGGACGATCGTCGTCATTATTATGCCGTTTAAACCAATTATTTAAATGTGTTTGTTAAATTCGGTATCATGTAAGTTGCGCTGACAGGTCCACACACTGCTTCCCCGCAGCGAGGCCCCCCCGCCCTCCTGTTGATAGATCACGAGCGTCAAGCTCCTCAACATCCTCAACACCCCCCCCGTTGATAATTCTCGATCGTTGGCACGCTGATAATAATTTTTTTTTTTAAATGGCACTTCATATCAAAAAGGTTGCCGACCCCTGGCCTAGAACAACCTCAACCTATACAAGTAAGCATCTACTGATGCTGGACAGTTTTTCAGTGGGTGCACAATAAACGGCAACACTAACACTAATGTAAATAAATAGCCAAATAATCGATCAACGCCGTCTGTCTAATATGCTCGCTAGCTGTTAGTGTTGTTGCATAGCAACCACCTCGCACTATGTTTTGTGAGGAAGCCAACAAAGGGACTATTTTATTTTTAACATCATTATTTACTAATAACAACTATTTAAATTGGAGTGTGTATTTTTCTTTCATATTGCCACACTTGGTAACCGTTTTATAAAAGCAATAGCTCACTTCAGGCCGTGATATATGCTCAGTATATAACAGCTAAGGGGCGTGGTTCGGCCTGTGATATAATGACCATATACCACGGCCTGTCGTGAGCTATTGCTTAAATATAGGATATTAAATTGTCTTTTAAGTGTCTTTTAAGGATACTACTACCCTACTACAACAACTTACGATATGGTGGTAATGTAATAATTAATATATTGACTGACTTTAAAAGGACTACCTTAACAATTTTAAAGTCAAAAGGCAACCAACTACAGTCTAGTTTATGAGCTTTAAAACCAACCAATATGTTTAAAACTTAACAGCATATGGTTTCTTTCACACGATTTGGGGGATCAATCCTACCTATAAAACACTTGCAATAGGATATTAAATTGTCTTTTAAGTGTTATTAGGATACTACTACCCCGGCAACTGTTTTTAAAAACATGCAGATATCATTACGATATGGTGGTAATGCCATATTTAATATATTGATTAAAATGGTAAAGGTAGTCCTTTTAAAGTCAAAGTCAACAAACTACAGTCTACTTTATGAGCTTTAATCAAAATACCAATACGTTTAAACTTACATTTTGATTTTCATCAGACTTTTTTAAGACTGAACAATGTCCATCTGTAAAACAGAAATGATTAGAGGTTAAATCCTGAGCAACAAATGAACACCATGGATTTAAATGTTAGTGAAGTGGAATAAACAGTACGTACCCATCATATCAAAATACTCATCCAGTATAGGGTGGCAGGAGAGAAACTGGTCTCTATGTTCCTCCAGAGTCCAGATAAAGAGTCTCATGTTATCATGCGGGGCCTGTTTTAGGTATTCAGTCTCAGTCAAGCCAATGGTTGAAAAAAGATCTGGCCCAATATCAAACTCTTCAATTATTGAGTCCTGCATCGGTCCAAAGCCGAGCAAAAAAGCTAGATCCAGCGTCTCCAAGTGTCCCGCATGGCGATCAATGAAGCTCTTGGCAGCATTCAGACCTGAAGAGAGCAACAAGGAGACGGTTAGACTTCAAATATAGAGCGGTGCAGGGATGATGTATTTACCCGGAAGTAAGCTGCATGGGTTCCCTCGACAAAAAAGCAATGGGATTTCTCCATAGGATTTTGGAATATTGTAAAAAACAAGATCTGTGGAAAACGAACCCGTTTGATAAATGCACGTTTTGTTCAGCCGGATAATATCCACACGTCTACCCTACTTTTATAATTTTCAAATCATAAATCTAATCGCCAGAAGCAAAAGGCTAACGTTATGTAGCTATGTACAAATGACAATAAAAGCCTTGAATCTAGAACCTTGACACTGAGCTTCACACATATTTAATCGTCACATGATAAATGCTGACCTGCATCGTTGACGTGGCTCGCCCAGTTGTGGAGTTTAGGATTTATATCCCGACAGCTACTGAGCAATTAAAATTACGACCCAGCCCACTTTCCATCGAAAATAATGCATCAGAGCGGAAAATAATAGTTTCTTCATGTCCTAAAGCTTCAGAGTCATATATTGCACCTCAAAACATTAAGTAAATCCAGAGTTACGGTTTCAGTAAAAGAAACTATTTAATTCAGAAATCACAGTTTCAGTGTAAGCGTTTTTGAAGAACAGCAGCACCCCTGATACCTGGTTTAGACAAAACCCTTGAGCAGAATTAGCTCGAGAACTACTTTATCCCAAATGTTTACTATGGAAAGACTGACCTACTATCTAAGGACTAAAGCAGAGATCTGTGAACAACGCTGGGAAAAATAGACAGTGTACAAGGAACAAGAAAGACTGTAAACATTGAGTAGTGTGGTCCCCCGTTTTGTTTTTTCTAACTATGTATTTGTGTGTGTTATATATTTGTCAAATGAAAAATAATTCGCTCCAAAACTACTATTCTATTTTATTTGTATTTACTTGCACTATTTTATCTGTGACCTAAGATTTTCATTGACATAACTACACTGTAGCTATGCACACATGACAATAAAAGCCTTGAATCTTGACACTGAGCTTCAGACACATTAAATCATAACATGATAAATGCTGACCTGCGTCGTTGAGTTGGCTCGCCCAGTTGTGGAGTTTAGGATTTATATCCCCGCAGCTACTGAGCAGCTGGATCAGGATTCGAGCCCAAACGCGGTTCTTCCTCTCCAGCAGGAGCTCGACGACCGGTCCGAGCGTTTCCATCGGCTCCTGCTTCCAGTTCAGGATCCTCTCAGCGATCTGGTTCCCCCTCGATGAGTCCAGCTCTAGCCAGGGCTTCAGACTCTGGGTCAGCGTTGACGGCTGGAGGCCCGTTTCCTCTCTCAGCAGCTCCAGGTTCTCACTGATCTGCAGCAGGACTCGATCCCTGTACAGCAACCAGGCTGAAAAACACAGTGAAACACAAACGGTGAGTGATCAACACTAGTTTTGCTTACAGATCTCCTAACATGCTATTTTTAGGCATATATTATGCATCTCAGATATATACAAATCAGTGTTTCCACCAGACCAGGGCTGAGAGGGCATCCACCCCGAGAGCGGGGGGGACGTTGTGTCACGCGACTTGAATTTTGAATTGAGCCGTCCCTTATAGATACTATCTCTTTACGTATTAGTGATGGGAATTCCGGCTCTTTATGTTACCACAATTTACCACGGAGCCTCAGTTTTGCTGCTGCGAGGCTCCGGCGCTCGCAGTTCACGCGCGTGCTCCACTAGCACCACCCATCAAGGCTCGCCGGCAGTACACTTTCCGTCACAGGAACACACTTTGCTGGCAGCAAAAATAATCCCACCAGACTCCTTTGCCCCTCCAACAGAGGGATGTCCTTGTCCTTTTTCATCATTTCAAGCGATAAAAACTCTCGATCTTCTCTCGGATTATAACATTTTTTGGACGCCCTCGGCTCGAGTTCAGGGCGTTCCGAGCTGAATAAGGGCGTCAAATGACGGCAAGACGCCCCCCTGGCCTTCTCTCTCAGGTATACTACAAGGTGAGTTTATTTTTATTTTCTGCTTTTTTTTTTTTTTTTTTTTACACATACTCTTAGCTCTGAGACAGGGAGGCTGTGGCTCAGTGGATAGTGTGCTGGACTTCGAATCAGGGGATATCAAGTTCGAGTCCCACTGCAGTCAGCATGTCCTTGTGTCCCTGGGCAAGACACTTCACCCCAAATTGCTCCTGTGGGGATTGCCCACAGTACTGAATGTTAGTCGCTTTGGATAAAAGCGACTAACAAATTACATGTAATGTAATGAGTGTTAGCGATGCAAATGTAAACAAAGACCATATTACGTCCAAAACAGTCGGGCATTGTTTTCTGATAGCGCTGTGGGTCCGCCGCCGGTATTACGTCATATCGGACGCAAATCTGGATCAGCTCAGTTGAACCCCCGTTTTTAGAGATTTGGGTACGGAGGAAAAGAGAGAGGGTTGTGTTTTCTGACGCTGCGTGAGTTCCCTGACACACCGGGGGGACATCTTTATGTATAAAAGACATCAAAAGCATGATAGGACACCTTTAACATGGAGCTCTAAAAAGCTGAGGCTGATCCGTACCTTTCTGTTCAATCTGTGTCGGCGAGTCTTCTTTCTGCTGCAGAATCTCCTCGTTGATCGTCTGCTTTTCTATGAATGACTGCTTATGTTGCCTCCTCTTAAGTTTGTGCTCATCCTTTGCTTTCATCTTCTTCAGACTGAAAGAATAAACCGAGAGAAAGGCATTTTTTAGAAAACAAGGCGCTTGGCAATAACTCTAAATAATCTTTAAAGTCAATCAAACTGAAACATTATTGCAGATCACAAAACTGATAAAGATAATTTATAAATCAGAATCTATATATTTGTTCCCAGTAAGGCAAGGCAAGGCAAGGCAGGCAAGGCAAGGCAAGGCAAGGCAAGGCAAGTTTATTTATATAGCACCTTTCAACACAAGGCAATTCAAAGTGCTTTACAAAAATGGAAGACATTATGAAAATGGCATTTAAAATCAGTCATTAAAAAGAAAAGATAACAAAATAAACATTAAAAGAAAAATTACATGGATAAAAGTTAAAAGTTACAGTGCAGTTTAAGATGTGAATAGTTCAATTAAAAGCAGCGGCAAAAAGAAAAGTCTTCAGCCTGGATTTAAAAGTAGTAAGAGTTGTAGCGGACCTGCAGGTTTCTGGGAGTTTGTTCCAGATATTTGGAGCATAATAACTGAATGCTGCTTCTCCATGTTTAGTTCTGACACTGGGGCTAGAAGGCAGACCAGAAGACCTGAGAGATCCGGATGGTTCATAATTTAGCAGGAGGTCAGACATGTATTTTGGGCCTAAACCATTCAAAGCTTTATAAACCAGCAGCAGTATTTTGAAATCTATCCTTTGACATGTGATGTGATCCACTTTCTTAGTGTCAGTGAGGACTCGAGCAGCGACGTTCTGAATCAGCTGCAGCTTTCTAATAGATTTTTTAGTGAGACCTGTAAAGACACCATTGCAGTAGTCGAGTCTACTGAAGATAAAAGCATGGACAAGTTTTTCCAAATCCTGCTGTGACATTAGTCTTTTAATCCTAGATATGTTCTTTAGGTGATAGTAGGCTGATGTAGTAACTGTTTTAATGTGACTGTTGAAACTCAGGTCAGAGTCCATGACTACACCTAGATTTCTGGCTTTATCTGTTGTTTTGAACATTGCAGGCTGAAGCTCAGCGCTAACTTTTATACGTTCTGCCTTGGCTCCAAAAACCATTACCTCAGTTTTATCTTTGTTTAATTGGAGAAAGTTCTGACACATCCAGTCATTGATTTGTTCAATGCACTTACTCAGTGTTTGAATTGGAGCATAATCTCCTGGTGAAATTGTTACGTAAATTTGTGTGTCATCCGCATAGCTATGGTAACTTATTTTGTTGTTTTTCATTATCTGAGCATGTAGATGTTAAAGAGAAGAGGCCCCAAGATGGAGCCTTGAGGTACCCCACATGTCATGTTTGTCAACTCAGATGTGTATTTACCTATAGAAACAAAGTTTTTTCTGTCCTTTAAGTAGGACTCAAACCAATTTAGAACTGTTGCCGAAAGTCCCACCCAGTTTTCTAGTCGGTCTAGTAATATGTTGTGGTCAACAGTATCAAACGCAGCACTGAGATCTAATAATACTAACACTGAAGTTCTGCCACTGTCTGTGTTTAAGTGGATGTCATTGAAGACCTTTACAAGAGCAGTCTCAGTGCTGTGGTTTGGACGAAATCCTGACTAGAACACATCCAAACAGTTATTTAAATGCAAGAAGTTACTCAACTGTTGAAATACAACTTTTTCAATGATTTTACCTAGAAATGGCAGGTTTGATATTGGCCTGTAATTGTTAATTACTGAAGCATCTAGATTATTCTTTTTTAAGAGCGGTTTAATGACTGCAGTTTTCAGGGCCTCTGGAAAAATACCTGAGTGAAGAGACTTGTTTACTATATGAAGTAGATCTGAGGCCATGCAAGGAAAAACATCTTTGAAAAATCCTGTTGGAATAATATCAAGGCAGCAGGAGGAGGATTTCAGAAGTTGAATAATGTCCTCTAAGTTTTTATCATTAATCTGATGGAATTGTGTCATGGTGTTTGAATTGATATTAGGTGGACATAGGGACAACACATTTGCTGTACCTGATGCAGAGGCACTGACTGCTTGTCTAATTTTCTGAATTTTGTCAGTGAAGAAGGAGGCAAAATCATTGCACGCCCTGGTGGATAGAAATTCAGAGGCTACTGACACTGGGGGGTTAGTTAGTCAGTAAACACTCGTCCATCAGCATGAACTCTATTTGACTCACCTTGTACATTTCTGATTCACTTTGAACTTCTTTGGAGTCGGGGGTTTGGCGATGGCAGCTTTAAACTGAAAAGAGAAAGATTGTCTTTACTATAAATGCAATTGTGTATATTTAGGTTAAAATACTTCATGTTTTTTTTTTACTTTCAAGACTTTTTATGAACCCTGTTCCCCTGCGTTGAATCGTCTTACCGTGCATTTGGGCAGCCCCGTCATACCAAAGATTACGATACTGCAGATTTTGCCCAGACAGTCCGATGTAAAACACGACTCTTGTAGGAAATCCTGTAAAAGAAAAACACAAATATTTAGACTGGAAACAGCAACAGCTCTGGCAAAGGTAGAAATGTGAATCTATCCTGGAAACGTTAGCTTGATGATGATGATGGTGGTGAATCGAGAAATTCATGGAGTTTACCTTTTCATTTCTGTCAGAGAAGGATGATGTCTTGAGGGCCTTCCAGCAGGCGATGTGGTATTCGATGATGCAGCTCTGACAGCAGAAGATTCTAATGTAGCCCTAAAGTAGAATAACCAAATGCAATATTATGATTATTGTTAGAAAAATATCATTCGTCACCGGCTTGAGCTTCAATAATCAGGATCCATGTATTTATGATCCTCTCAAGAATGGAAGTAGTCATCACATACAGAGCATCAACTAGTTCCTGAACAGTGTCCTTCACATGCTGATATCCAAGAGAGGGAGTTACACAGTCACAAGATGGAGGAATACCAGTTCTTGTAGGTAATCATAAATCGTTTCATGTACAAAACACTGAGTTTTTTTCTCAAAATGTTGGCTTTTTTTGGAAAATCTCAAAATTCTGACTTTCTCAAAATTCTGACTTTTTCTAAAAAATCTCAAAATTCTGTCTTTTTTTCGCAACATTCTGACTGTCTCTCAAAATCCTAATCCATAACCCTTTTTCTCAAAATTCTCTAAAAATTCTGTATTTCTTTGTAAAATATCAAAATCCTGACTTTTTACTCAAAATCTCAAACAGTGTCCTTCACATACTGATATACAAGAGAGGGAGTTACACAGTCACAAGATGGAGGAATATAAAGCAGTATTCAATGTTTAGTTCAGATTAGCTCCACGTCAGAAATGATCATGCTTGTCATATGTCTATCTCCATAGAGGCTGAATCATCATGTTAATCACATAGCTATCATATGCCTCAAACAGTCCTGATGCTCTTCTAGGTAATCATACATCCTGTCATGTTCACAGCTACAGTTGGGATACCTTTGTTATCATGATACTCTCATATTGGAAGAGTACATTCAGTATTTTCCCAACAATTTTGTTCCATTGAAAGCTCAATTTGAAGAATAACTAACCAGTGGCTGCGACATACCTTAAAATCTGGGTCCGTCAGGTAGATCTCTGCCTTCATGGGGCAGAGGCAGATCTCCAGTCGACAGATGGCGTCAGGCGGAGGAGGAAATGTACACAACTCTATAGCTTGCTCAAGCATTCCCTAAAAAAACAGAAAACGAAAGTTATCAAAATGTGTGAATTCCAACAAAAAAGAGAGAGAAGTGTAAGCTATACTTTGTCAGACGCAAAAATGAAGTCTGGTGTCCAAAAATACGTTGAATAAATCTTGCTTTAATAAAATTGTTATTATAAACATCCACAAATATATGTCTTAAATAATAAAAATACAGCGACCCTCTCTTCCACACACTCCTCACACAGGTGAACAGATGATTATATTAACAATGAGTGTCGCCCATACCCATGTAACTGATCCAGCCCGTAATTGATGCAGAAATAATAAGTTAGTAGTAAAAACCCCAATAAATCAGAAGTCCCAACTCTGACATTCCTGGCTCCTGCAGATTATTTGATATGGTCTTTTGTATTTATATTGCATAAAATGGAGGGTGCTACTCCTATATCTATTCGTGTGAATCTTTAATGTTAGATGGCAATAACATCTTTTAATGATAAACTTATTCTTGCAACTTGTCTGAATTTATAGAAAATTGCTTTTACTACACAATCAAAGCAGTTATGTAAATTGGTCAAATTCAGAGTTAGCAGAGTGGGTGTTATTATTATTCATATAGCTATAATGTTCAATTGCTCACATTCGAGTCATATAATCTTTAGAAACTTGTATAAAGCACCAACCAATGACATACCTTGAAATAGTCCGGCTGCGTTTCTTTGACAATCTCATTGGTTAAAGGCCAGGTGAGTTTACCCGGCGTTATTTTATTCTTGACTGTCTGCAGGGAATCTGAAAACTGCTCCAGAGCCACTGTAAACCTGTCAGAACAAGAGGAAGAGTAGGACATATTTGAAACCGCAAAAAAGGTGCGACATAATGAAACTAAAACTGGAAGCCGCCGTACCTGTTCTCCTTGAGAAACACCCTCCCGGTGGCGTAGTAAACGAGACACTGAAAGGTCCGCTCCTCAAATGATTTGATCTTTTCCAGAAGCTTTTGTGCTTCTCCAAGTTCCTGTTTTTAACAAAAGCAACCAAACATTAGAATCTGCAACTTGAGGGATTTCCTTACAGTTCTCAATTTCATTTTTATTCTATATCCTCCGCTTTGTTCTTTGGCATCATATTTTTACTTTATTTTCTATGTCCAGTCATAATAATTCCTTATAAAGCAATGAAATGTTTTGAATATAACGAAAGCCACATTAAGGCCAGAACTTTATAATTGAATCTACTAATGTTTGTTCTCAGTTAATCTATTAACATTCACGAAAGGCAACAAAAAAAGAAAACCGGCAAACGTGAAGTCTTCAGATTTCTTGAGATACCCTCAAATATTTAATACAAAACACATATGTGACCCGCTCTATCGAAATCAGTCGGAAGTCGCAACGGCTCATTTCAAAATAAACGTGGATTTGCGTAAAAAGCTAGTTTCGGGGTTCGGGTGTTTTGTTTGATTTTAAACAAACAAAGTCTTGGCTTTCAGAATATGAAACTTATTTCCAAAATCACACGATAAATACATGTTTGAAGCTTGTAAAGGGAAGATGAAAGCTCTCACTCGCCACTCTGCTGTTCCGCAGCGCAGCTCCCCCTCCGGCTGACATTATGAATGTAAGGCGTATAGTAATCATAGATAACACGGCAGGGTCCGTTACAGTTTGTTTTCATCTGATTTCAAATAAACAAACACACACACTCGCGAGCTTCCCCCACACCAGTAATCCAAATCAAAATATCTTCCCTCCGTAGTACTTTGATCATTTGCTAATAATCAATCAGATCGATGGATTCCAGAGAAGAGGAAACTTTGAAGGCCTTTTTCTCAAAATGATGACTCAGTAACAGTCATTATATAATGTGACATATTTAGCTTAATATTTGGAGTACAACAACAATCCTGATATCATTAGAAAGCTAGGAATCTCCTCTTTCCAACAGTGTATACAACTCAAAATGTGTCTTCGGGTCAATGCGACTGATTTCGATGGAGCAGGTCACATGATAAAGACAGGAGGAAATCCTCTTATTTAAAAGGGCTGGATTCGAAGGATAAAAAGTTATTAGTATAAGAACCGTTGCCAAATATTTATCTGATGATCAACTAATCATGTACGCTCCATTCCCTGTAATACATCCATGAGGAGTTTTGCTTCACAGTAATGTCGGCACTAGAGGAAACCGTCCTTCATGTATTTAATTTACCTCAGGCTGGCCGATTTCGGTCAGAGCTGCTGCGTGTCCGTACAGCAACAACAAAACATCCAGCGTAGAAAGACCAACTTCCTGCAAGGGAGAACAAATCATATATTTAAAGGCTTAATATTTGATATGGTTCAGCATTAAGGAAAACTGAATTAGGGCACATAATAATTATAAAGCTTTATTTATACAACAGTGCTTTACAAAATGACACATCACAAGTTAAAAAAACAAACAAGACATTCCCCTCAGATTATTTGTTACTTTACAGCAGGGGTCGGCAACCTTTTTGATATGAAGTGCCATTTAAAAAAATGGTGTTAGTGTGCAGACGTTCGTGAACTGTCAACTGGAGAGCGGGGGGAGCCTCGCTGCGGGGAAGCTGTGGACCTCTGTCGCCGGTCAGCGCAACTTACATGATGCCGTTTAAACACATTTAAATAAATAAAGGACGGTGCCGGCCGTCAGCGAGCCCGGTCATCAACGGCCCGCTGGCGACCGGCTCGGTTTGCTGACGGCCGGACGTTCTGTGATTCTCCAGAACACACAGTTGGCCAGTCCGCCCCTGTGTAGCATATTATTTTCGATGACGGATGAGCAGATCGCCACTGGGCTCTCAACTAAAGACACAGCCACGCAAAAACTGCGGCATGTACAGCTTCTTATGGGTACTGCAATGTGTGAAGTGCGCTACACCCCTGATCGTTTCACCATGGAGGAAAGCAGCAGAAAGTCGACTGGAGTTAAAAAAAGAGCGGGGCCTAGAAGTTATCCTTCCGCGCTGCGTTGCGTTGCGTGCATGGCTTCCTTCTGCAGGGGGAGACGCGCTCTGCAGGGGGAGACGCGCTCTGCAGGGGGAGACGCGCTCTGCCGGCGGTCTCGTTCAGGATCCGAAAATACAATTTAAATATTTTGCACACTTATTCCTAGTGTGCTACTGCTTACTGGTAATGATTTACAGGTACATGCAGCAAAATATAACATTTTATCAGGTTGATAGACACAAAGAGGTCAAAGGTATGATAACAAAAAAATTAAAATGATTTCTCTCTGACAGATAAGACAACTGAGTCGGTGCAACAATATAAAGCCCCATAAAACAAAGTGAACATATCGGTACAACAGAAATACAAATAAAAAGATATTAGTAATAAAAATGCCATCATTCTAATAAAGAAATAACATAACAAATGCAAAGTGTTAAATATACTGTTACCTTGGCTGTGCTGGTGTCCAGGATGTTCAGAGCCTTTCTGAACGCCTGCTCTGCGTTGCGGCAGCGGAGGTCGGTCAGCGCGCTGTGAGCGTCCTGCACCATCGCTTTCAACTCTTTACACACACCTGCTTTACTGTCACCCTCGTTCAGATTCTGAAGACATAAAACACAACAGAGACACAGGTCAGTTATTTCATTTAAAGATGCCATAGATTAGCACTTAAGATGCATTTAACCTGTTGAGCCCTGAGCCTGTTTTTCAGGTCTCGGACTCGAAAACAACATTCCCAGAACAAATGACTATATCTTCACTTCTAAAAGGGGGTAAATTAATAATCTTTTTTCTCAAAGTAATGATAAACCTGTGAGTTGGATGTAGAAAAGTCAGAATCAATATAGATCTTTTTTATTTTAAAGTAAATTCAGATTGAACATAGTAAAAAAAATGTAAATTATAGTGTCCGTCCAAAAAAGAAAAAGAAACATTACTTATAGTGAAAACCACCCTTGAATGATGGGATCTGAGACTAAAAGCTTTAGGAATCCAAACTATAACATATAATAAGTACCCTGTATCAAGATTGATGCAAAACAAGTGACATTTGACCTTTTTAGAGGTTTAGCAAAAAAAAACACTTCTGGGGTCATTTGCCGTTTCTCTGGTTCTCATTGGTCGATTTTGATGATTGACACCACTTTTTAACCGTTAGAGCCAATAGAATCGAGGGGAAGTTCCTAAAAATCCATCTAAACATTGCCCATTGGTGAATGAGTGATGCGTAGCCAGAATGCCCAGAACCGGAAGCTGTCATACACTCTAGTTGCTATCGTAGCAGCTATATATGAAATCTCAGTTTTTGAGGATTATCAGTAATCATTTCAAAGTGACACAGACACATTGGATTAACCTATGGATTAACCTTCAGCAGCGTTTTTATCGTTTTAATGCCATTGAACACAACTTTTGATCAGAAAACAACAAAGTGAAGACGTTTTTAGCCGTTTTGGCATTTTTTGGCAACATTTTTTGTTGTTTGTCGTTTCGCCGCGAGTTCTGGTCGCTCAGTGATGATACTTATACGTCTGGAATATGTGGAATCTCAGTTTGGTAATCGATATCTTGTTTGTGCAGATACGATAAGTAATAAGGGTATTTTACCGTGAGTTCTGTGATAAGTGCATTTTTTTCGCTGAGGGCTAATTCAGAGCCTTTGTTATTACCCTTTGTTTCGTTTAGCCAAAAATGGTTAATATTGTCTGAAAGCTGAGTTTCTTCCCGTTAAGTGAGTGTGACACATTCATAGTTTATTAAATGTTAAGAAGCCCTCAGACGCTGTTTCTTGAAAAACAGATGCAACATGAGCGTGACGTGTTCGGTTCAGCCTCACCTTCACTTCAGGCGGACTTCTGTTCTTTGGTTTCTTCTTCGTTGGTGTGCCGGAGTCTCCCTTCCCATTCTTCGTAGGAGGCTCACTGAAAGCACAACATTTAAAATCAGGTAAATACTCTGAAAGGGAAAAAGGAAAACTGAAGCTCTTTAGCTGTAAACTTGATGCATGTTACAAATGTTTTACCAAAGTACTGCATCTAAATCTCGTTATAGAGGAGATGTGGAACAACTTGCCAAATCAAAGTGAAATGAAAGAATGGATTGAGAAGTATGTGTGATAAATACCAGAACTTTTATCAATCAATCGACCAACTGCACTTATAAAACAATGAGCAGGGGCGGCGGGAATCAACTAGTTAATTAAGAGTAAATGATTTCAAGCAGTGGCATCATCCTTTATAAAAAACATTGATATTAGTAACAGTACTTTTTACTAACCTTTTTGATGGTTTGGAGTTTTTAGTAGTGCCCTCTGACTGCGCAGTCTTTTCATTTTTCACTGAAGAGAAAGAGAGAACGTTGCTCATGAAGTCTTTAATTTTTACTCTGGAGGCACCAATATGCTTTTATTGTGCGAGCACTCTGCTGTCCGTAACGCCCCTCAGTTGGAAATATTTTTAATTAATATGTATTTAAGAATATGAGAGGCATACTGTGTACACCAGCTGGAAGTTTAAACAAACTCACCTTGTTGCTTTTCTTGTTTAACCACTGGCGTCTGTCAACACACAAGTTAATAAACACCAGTTAATAATTTATAAAAAAAGATATGCATTAGTGAATGTTTGCTCGCCATAAGATAAAACACAAAAAGAGAGTTACTCACTTTACTCTTAGGAGGAGGATCGTTCTTATGAACAGAGTTTACAGACAGCGGCCGTGGCTCCAGTGTTTGAGCTCTGAAAGTGCAAAAAAACAACATCAATTCATGTATCAGCATTTAATAATCACATCTGTAAAATGTGTGTGTAAAATAGCGCTAACATACTTTTTACTTTGGTTTTTCTTAGGCGGTACAACTGAAATCAAAGCACAAGAGCATGAGTTTCATTTTGAAGGGCATCAAAACAAAAGATTAGGGATGAATTCATACAGATTTGTTAGTAACTAGATTAGATTTCTGTCCATGATGAGCAGTATTCAGGTTTGAGATACAAGTACAGTGTCACAGAAGACAATAAGGAGCATTTACAAGTAAAGACAAATAACAAAATATACATGGAGACAAAAAAAGAAACCAAAAACAGTGTGTGTCAGAGTTTCCGTTAGCCAGTAATTACCGGACTATGACCGGTAAAATATGCTGAAGACCGGCAAATCTAAATCTCTCCGGTCAAAATAATTTCCCCTTAGCGCAATACCGCATCAGTTGCGCCACTTATGTGACAGACAAGAATAGTCAATTCTAATGTCTAACACTTAATGTGGAGAAAGAGATGTCCTGTATTTGTTGATTGTTGATTGTGTGATCTGTTGGTAATGCCTCGGGGTTCCGGTGGGCATGTAAACAAATGCATAATGCTGCGCTATACTTTGCGGCCTCACCCGGTTGCATAGCGACGCTTATTGTTTAGGTGTCTTTTAATAAGCAGGTATATCATTAGCTAGAACTAGGTAGATCTGATCGATATGGACATAAACGCGAGTGAAGTCTAATCTGACGGGAGAGAGAGAGATCAGTTGCTGCTGACGAGTCGACACGAATGAATGTGTGTGTGTGTGTGTGTGTGTGAGGAAGGGGTCGTCGTTACGTCAATTGGTTCCCGGAAGAAAAAAATGGAAAAAGAAAATCTCCAACGAGGCGTTCTGGGGCAGCATAGACAGGTATTTTCTGTGTTCAAGTTTTACTCGCTACAGGGTGTACTTTGAGGGTTTGTGACTTTGCAGACCGTTCACATGCATAAAAACCTTCATAACACACAAGGGGACGGGTAATAACCGGAAAAGCATGACATGGGACCTTTAAAGAAGTAGAAAGGGGTGGTGGCTGAAATCTGATTGAGGATTATGATATGATAATTTTTTCATATACCGTAATTTTCGCACTATAAAGCGCACCTGAATATAAGCCGCAGCAGCTAAATTGAATGATGTGTACATATATAAGCCGCACTGGACTATAAGCCGCAGGTGTTTTAATGTTTAATTACCATATCTAAGGGTTCGTGCACAGAGGGGATTGTCGGGAAAGAGATGGCTGTTTGAGGAAGCTCCCATTTATTAACATTTCAACAAACAAGTTGCATATTTGCATAACGTATTCAAGTGTTACCATTTAGTGCAATAGTAGCTACAGAACATGTACTGTGCTGTGTAAACTGTACTGTATCACATAGCGTTTCAGACACACAAACTTTTCAACTTTCAAACTTAGGAGAGGTTACGTCTTCTTTGTGTTATAAGATAGGACTGGCAGGGTCAGTCAAACCTGGTCGTTATCCCGCGGAGCTCTCTCGGCCCGGTGTCTACAGGGCTAGCCCGAGGATCCCCCGCTAGCATCCCCCGCTAGCAACAGGCCTTCAAAACAATGTTAGAGGCGCTCCTGAAACAGCGTCAAAACGGGTATATTTCCCGGGCTTTAATATACGCTTTGTTTCACTCGTTTGTTGTTTTGCTCCTCCGTGTTTTCAGAGCAAGTCGTCGGAGCTGTAAAAATCCATAGATTAGCCGCACCGTTATATAAGCCGCAGGGTCGAAAAATGGGAAAAAAGTTGCGGCTTATAGTCCGAAAATTACGGTATATGTATTCCATAACCAGGTTTTTCCAAATTGTGATATTGCTTTTGTGTCGTGATTTCCAATTCATGAGGATAGTTTTGTTTGCAATGATTAGGGCTATGGACAGAATTCTACTTGATGTAATGTTGATGGTCCCATTGGAAATGTCTCCTAGTAAACAACAGGTTTGAGATCTTAAATTGAAGAAGGGACAAACAACTAGTCTACAATAGAAGCCTCAAGATGTGATTTGAAACGTTTCCGGTTATTCTTTACATCGTTGAGCCAGGCGGTTTACCGACAGCTGTGTAAATCTGTCTGCTCAACAAAAGTATAACATGTCGACAGTGGAGGCATTAGTTTGCACATTTAACTAAAACTCTCAACCTTCAGCACCTTTGCCTTTTCAAATGTGATGTATGTCGCTGCTGTGAACATGAGACGAATGCAGGGGAAATACCTTTGGGCTCTGGCATTTCCAATAAGAATTTCTCATGTTGGGCTTCCAGGTCTTTGATCCCTTCTCGGCTGTCTTTACAAAGACCCCGGGCTAATACGTTGGATTCGATAGCCTTTTTCCACTCGCCCAAGAAAAACAAAGCCTCACAGAAGCGGAAGTGGCCCTGCAAACAAAACCGTGATTTACATTTTAACTCATGATTACCATTTCAAGAACATACAACTCGATCAAAATGAATCTCACACAGATCATAAAAGAGATAAGTACCTTCGCCCAGAGTGGCTTTATCAGAGTAGCACGTTTTCCATCAGTTACCGCTTTGCTGTAAAAATCAATAAGTCCTTTTAGCATTAAAACACATTTCCTTTCCAGTCCACCATTCACTCTAGTGTGGGACGTTGAACACTGACTCATCACACATTTTAAGGTCAAACAGACGTCACTTCTGATACTTCATGTATTCACCAATGAGAGGAATAAGTGATACTTACAGATATTTTTTACATCGGATATAGCATAGCGCTCGGTTTCCATAAACTAAGTGGTTGTCAGGGCTGGATGGAGGAGAAGTACATTTGAGTCACAAAAGTAAACATGTTTACAAAAGTATTATTTTACAATCTATATAAATACCCTCCAATGAATATTTTCTCTGTAGCACTTATGGCGCTTTTCCACTGCAGCACGGTTTAAGCGTGCCGTGCCAAACCCGGCATGTTTTTGTAGCGTTTCCACTAGGGCTAGTTCCGGCTTAGGGCTACCTTTTCACAGTTTTTCTGTCCCTCCAAAATCGTGGTTCTTTCCGGGCTGAATATGCTAAACTAGTGACGTGAGTGGCTACAACTACAACACACTGAACATATTTTACCGTGATTTAAATTGTAATACACGTCTCAAAATGATGCCGAAGTAACAACATACTGATACCGGTTAGTAAAAACCATGAATTAATGCTTTGACAAGTCTGCAGACAGACGGCAGGCGAAAAACCTTTTAAAATGCGTGTTTTCTAAATGGAGATTGGCTAAGCTAACGCAGTATATGCTCCGACCGTCCACACTCACAACAACGGCCTATACAGACATAAATAAAGCAGCGACTGTATTCACCATGACACAGGCAGTCTGTGGTTTGTACTTGTTTAACTTTTGTCTAGTTTCTGAACAGATATGAGGAGCTGTGAGCTCTGAGTGCTAACAGCTAACGGCTGATGTTTATCTGTGGTTCGCATTGAAGATGACGTCACGGCTCCGCCTACACTGCGTTACTATAGTTACTACCCTAGCTACTAAACTGTAATGGAAACGCAGCATAAAGTGAGTCTGGCCTACCAAGGCCTAACTATACCGTACTAAGCCGTGCGAGGCCCTGCAGAGGAAATGCGCCATAACTCTACACTACACACACCAAGGCCTTTTTTTTTAGGTTGTACCTTGTGTTTGTAATAATCTGTACCACTCATATTGTTTAAAAACAGTCAACAAAAACATAAATACTTCAACTTCACCGGGAAAAGGCCATACTATGTTATTGTATTATTGTTAATCATGCGAGAACAAAAATATAAAAAATGTTGCAACCACCGTTACCTTAAAAACAACAGTTTAAAGTTTCATGCATTAACTTTTAGAAATAAATAAAATATGACTTACTATAATTTGATGGCTTTAGAATAATACTTCACAGCTTCTTCAAACTCCATTTTCTTGAAGTTCTCATTTCCTTTCTTCTTCATTTCTTCACTTTTCTGGAGAAGGAACACGACAAACCAAATGTTTTAATTACTCATTAGTTGCTAACATACTATTCAATAATTCTGCAGTCAACTTACATGTGTCTGTGGCAAATAAATACATAAAAAGCCCGTTTGAGAATAGTTTATTTATATCAGAGACCGCCGAAAATGTTATTTGTCTCACCTCTATTAGATATTCAGCCGGTCGAACATTCAGCGCCTTCATCGTCTTCTCCGAGTCAGAGCCCATTTGCTGAATGTACTTTGCAACTGATGGAAGCAAAAGGAGTGCGTTTGTTATAATCCACACACAAGGCTCAGTGTTTACACACCACATCACATAGAGTGGTGCAGTGACGAGTACTAAAACCCGGAAGTGAGTTAGCATTTTACCACTACGTGTTCCAGAGTCAATGGGATTTTGGAAAATAGCTAGAAATAATGTCTGTGGTCGACACAAATTGAAGAGACGGATCACGTTTTGTTCTACCACTTTAAATACATCAGCAGTGACCCCACTGGTGATTTTTGAAGAGTTTACGTGTCTGAAAAACGATGGTTGTTGTTGGGAAAATACTGAATGTTCCTTCTATAATCAGAGTAGCACATGATAACAGAGGCCCTACGTAGCTGTGTACGTAGCCGGATGTATGACTACATGGATGACGCTCATGAGACACTGTGTTGAAGTTATGATAGCTATGTTCCTCAGATTGGCATGATGACACAGCCCCTAGACAGATAGGCATATGACTGTCATGTGTATTGCTTACGCAGGCCTTAGCTAATCTGAACTAAAGTCAGAATACTGCTTTGAACCAGTATTCCTCCATCTTGTTGACTGCAACACCCTCTCTTGTATATAAGCATATCAAGGACTATTTGTCCCACATTTAAATTTAGCATTTCCTTATCATCTCGCCACATTTAAAAGCTGCGTGTGGGTGATAAGTCGTGGCTGCACGACAATACAAATATGTTTAAATATGCAAAGTGGCATCATGCTAGACGGCAGCAGCTCTCAGTGACTTGTATAATGTATGCATTGTATTCCATGTCTATAGTAGTAGTTTGTCTCTGATCAGGATTTTGTCAAAATAGGGTAACAGGCGCTGCCCCTTCTTACTTTCGGCGTGCGCCCTCATACCGAAATGCCAATTCTCCCAGTAAAATATTAAAGTGACGCCAGAAAACAATATTTCTGTTCCTCAAAAACTCTATAATCACTCCAAAAATGTGAAAATCGTGTCAAATAGACCATCAGAGGACAGAGACAGCTTCGTTTTGAACAGAGCTCAGACGTTGCGTTGTGTACACTAAAAACCTATGAATCTGATCTAAATGTAATTCTTGCCAACAGCTGGATGCGGTTTGAAATCCTCATGAGTTCACATAATACATTTGGTCTATGCTGTCATTTCATTTGGTCGTTTATTCTGTCCACATGACTTGAATTAAAGGTCTGTTTGTCCTGGGAGAGAGATCCTTTTCATTCGTTCTTTTGCACCCGACACTTTTTTTACGCTGCCATGGACAATCTTGCACTAATGTACATCCCCAAAGATATTTAAGTGACTGTTATTTTGTATATATTGATTGTTATTGTATCTTAATGTGTGCACATGTGTCTGTTGATTGTGTATATATAGGATATAGATATTTTATAGATATTCGTATTATTATATTTTTGTATTCGGGATTGTTGGAAACATTATTTCGATCTCTCTGTCTGTACACACAAACTGACATTAAAGTTGACTTGACTTTGATGTGTAGCAACATCGACTATCAGCAGATATATTCCTTATCAAATAATGCAGTGGTTTGTCAGGATCTAATGTCCACATTTAGATGACTATAAAAATGATTACACCTGACTGACAATTCATTCTTCCATTAGAGATTCAGCCAGCATACCCAGCATCAATGATTTTATATTATACCATTATCTCATACGTGGTTCAACACCTCTGAGTTTTCAATGTGCATCTGAGTGCGGCAGGAAAATTAAACTATACGGCGAACGTCGAGACAAAGGTTCCACTTGACAAAAGGTGACAACTTATTTAAAAATAATGGTCTTCCTGACTTTGATGTTGGGAGTTATTCCTTGTGAGCTGCCTTTTGGACAGAGGGCGTCAAATGCTGTAGAGCCCATTTGATTGATTGATTGATTGATTTACAAAAAAAACATATATTTTGTGAAAGGATAATGCAAAGTAACTTGTCATCATTGAATTGCTTTGTGTCTCACACTCTGTGAAGATGACGTGCAGCGCTGTGAAGCAGATCTGGGGATGCCCGAGGCTCATGACACGATGTCGGATGCCAGGTTCTCCCGTTCGCTCCAACCAGCACATCGCATCCTTCAGAGCTTCTGGGGTGCGCTGAGGTAAAAAGTCAGAGAAATATGTCAAATAGAGAACCATTCAACCATCTCCATCAACCCTTACATTGGCAGAGGCAGTAGACGTAGGCATGTATTCAGTTTTAGACTTTTGTTGCATTGGTCAAAGTATTTTTTATTGAATTTTAATATAAGATGGAGAAACAGTGGGAATTTCTAAGGATGCATCAACCTGACAATGTATCTCACAATACCTCAACTCAGAAAGTCCTCTGGTACTAAAGATAGTTCTCTTACCAGTGCCTTATTTTCACAAATGTTAATCTCACAAGAAATGTAACATTTAAGTATGGTTGATGTTTTTCCCCATTAACACGTTGTAGAAATACTGACCAGAATCAGTAAGTAAAGTACATTGGTTACACCTGGACATTACCAAATCTTAATAAGGATTGGAGCAGACACTGACCAAATTGAAATGAAACAGCACTACAAATCTCTTTTAAGCTTCATAAATGTGTTACTCATTGCATCAGATTGCTTTTTTACTTAAAATGTCCAACTAATAAATCGATAAATATAGTTGTACTGTAGGGTACCTTGAGCGCTGACGTATGTCTGCATGATCATAACTATTATTAACCAAAAGCTAGAATATTTCCGAATATTCAATGCAAACAATCACTTTTTGCAGACTTACCAAGTTAAACATGTTGCTGATCCAGATAACGTGTTTACTTTGGTCCCTTTTAACCTGGAACAGAGAACCAACAACAAATGTCAATTCAAAGCAGAAAAAAAATCGGCTTCGATCTATATATTCTGAACAGTTTAGGATTCTTATCCCAGACCGGTTGGTGTTGCATCGTTATCCAAAAATAACTGTAGCTCGTAGTTTAAAGGTCTCCTATTATACTGTTTTTCATCAATATATTCAGGGTTCTTACACCTTTTCCAAAGTCAAATTCAAGCACTTTTCAAGCATTTTCAAGGTGCATTTTCAAGCATCTTACAGCTGTTGTAAATTACATATTTATATACACATACTTCTACTCAAATGATTATTTCCCTACCTCACATTAAATCAGATGTTCTTTATGCTATAAACAACCAAATGTGTGTTTCATAATAGCATTCTACATGAGGATGAAAAATTAAAAATGTTAGAAAAGAAAACTAAGTTTAATATTTCAAAATGTGTGACCCATCTGTACGTAGACTGGGCATCCCATATAACCTGGCTGAGCCAATATAAAACAATCAGCCAAATAACTTTTCAATATATTATTGATTACTATTTTTGAGGTACTTTTAGGTTGGCAGTAAACACAAGTCAGAGGTAAATGGTGTACTTTGACTCCACTACATGTATTTAATACCTTTAGTTACTTTACAGATGTGGATGAATGATGTGAAATATAATCAAGTGTTAAATCAGACTTTAGTTCCACCTGGAGTAAATTCACAAGCTACTCTGTAGTATACAAAGTCATTCAAACTAGCTGCACCTTTACCAGCTTTGATAACACTTTCATGATCAATCATTAAAAAACATATCATATACAATTATTAGGGATGCTCCGATCGCCAATTTTGGAGCCGATCGCCGGAATCAGTATCGGCCGATACCGATATCGCTCTCTTTTCCTCTCTCCCCCTCTCTCTCTCCTGACAGCCCGTCAGTATCTCCTGCAGCTCACTGATCCAGTAATGAGCGACCCGACAGTGAAGAATAAATATATTTATAACTAGTTTAGCTTGTTCCAGAGGTAGATAAAATAGCTAAGTGTGTTAGGTCTAACTCTTAGTGTGTGTTCTGCTCCGCTCACCGGTCCGTCACAGCGGGTGGAGCTGCAGGATTTCTGCTTCACACACAAGTTGCATACCGCTATTTTATTGTCATTTTCGGACACTTAAAATACTGCCAGACTAGTGAAGCCATTTTGGCGAGCTTGTTTTGCCGCGCACAGAGAAAAGTGTCATGTATTTTACATGCAACGATAGCCTAATCTAAAATGCTCTACTATGGCGTACCTTTCGTGTGGTGTGTGGCTCGTCAGCGCAGACTCTCGCATCGTTATTGTTGCACACTTTGCAGGAGGCTACTCTTGGGCTTCGCTTGACCCTCGTCTTAGACATGGCTTGTATTTGTCTTCTGCTAGCCAACGCTCGTTGAAACGGCAACCTCCTGGCATACTGTCATCTATCACTCTCATCAGAATGCCCAGGTCACACACGTAACAAAAACACTTGCCGGTCACGCGCATTGCGCGGGAAGGCCGGAGCGGAGCTGTTTTATCTAAAAGCGAAGCAATTAAGCGCGCTCCGACTTCTTTATTTTCTTTTAATCTAAAAAGTGAAGTAAAGCATTTACAATTTCAAGCACTTTATCCCAAATTCAAGCACCATTCCCAAAATTCAAGCACTTTTCAAACCTTGAAAACACCTCGTACAATTTCAAGCATTTTCAAGGATTTCCAGCACCCGTACGCACCCTGTATATTATAGGTCTCAGATATATACAAACATGTCTCTGAAGTGTTTGGCTTGAAACACCAATCAGATCATTGCAGCATCCCATAATCCCCTCTGTTTCAGCCCTGTTTCAAAAGTGCTGATTCTCTGTCTGTTACTTTAAATGAAAATAAGGAGCCCCTCCCCACGCCCCTCTTGAGAGATATTTGGTTAAAAAGAACACAATGGTGCTCTAGGAGGAGATTCAGGTGATAATGTGGGGGGGGGGGGTTACCTTGGTTGGTGATTGGCTAATGGTTACACAAGCCAAAAAATCGTTATGACATCATAAAGTGGCCAAAATCTGATCAGCTCATTTTCAGACAGGTTTTTATATAAATGGATCAGGACAAAAAGAGAGAATCTTTGTTCCTGAAACTTTCAGAATCTCTTTACACAGAGGGGACACATGTTGATGTAGAAGAGACATGGAGAAGAGGGGACACATGTTGATGTAGAAGAGACATTAAGAAGTGCATTTTGCATAATAGGTGACCTTTAAGCTCCGCTTGTTCCATAGTTCTTGGAATATACTGAACTATTAAATATTCAACACACCGTTCCTTTCTCCAAGGCTCTGAGGATGGCCTCTAGTGTCTCGATCTTCTGCAAGTGCTTCATATCCAGATCGTCAGTATCACTTCAAAAGAAAGAAAAAAACAGCTCAACAATCTTTTAATAGACTAAACATTTAAGATAAAAGTGTTAATAATCGAGGGTTCAAACACATATTCAGATCCCGATCATAACTGTGCCTACCTTGATATCAGATCTATTTGGTAAGCCCAGCAGGAAGGGTTGCTGGGCTCGTCGCGCTGCAGCAGCAGGGGAAGCCAGAACGCACATATTCTCATCCGTTCCCCGGCTTGTCTTCTGGTTTCAAGAGGAATTTGACTCCATTTGTCAAAAACGATCTCTAAAAAACAAAGAACGTGCAGAATATACAGTTATATTCATCTGGCTGAAGGTACTGTGTTTCCCACAGAATTTGATTCTATTTGTGAATCCTTAACCTATTCGGGTGGCCCACGCATCAACCCCCCCCCCCCCTCAAATAAGAAAATACATGCAAGTTCATGGCTACTGTAGACAACGTTCTTGTTGCTCTGTGTTGTGTTGTTAATGAGTGAGACACACCGGAGTTGAGGATCTGTGGGGTTTATTCTCCCAAAAACATAATTTAGCAGACGCCTTATTCCAAAGAGACTTGCAATGACCAATTACACGGACATTCTCCCTGCAGTAACTGAGGGCTAAGTGCCTTACTCAAGGGCACACTAGTAGTGGGGTTCCAGGCGGGATTTGAACTCGCAACCTTCCGATCATCAGCACCTCACTATCGATTAGACCACCAAGGTACTATAGAGCATTTACCATATCAAGTTTGGAAAAAGCCCAATCAATACACTACTCTACTCTACTCTAATACAGGAAGCTATTTAACTATTATTTTTTTATCTTCAGTTTGTATTAAAGGTAGGGTAGGTAAGTTTGAGAAACCGGCTCGAGATACACTTTTTGTTATATTCCATGGAATGCTCTTAACATCCCGATAGCAATGAATATCTTAAGTGCTTTGACAAAAAATCCATAAAAAAATGTCATCTGTGGAAGCCGTAGTACTGTAAAAAGCACGACCAATCATTTTAGCCGGCCCGGCTAAAATAACTGGATGGCCTACCTGCCTGTCAGCCTTCCATCTGTGCACAAACTTATCTCGTGCCCTCATTGGTCATGTGTGTGTTGGAGGAAGGGCTCTATAAGGAAGTGGCAGATTTTCTCCGGTTGTGTATTTTCAAATTCTAGCGATCTCGAGCCGGTTTCTCAAACTTACCTACCCCACCTTTAAGCTCAGAAATCAATAATACGAGTCCTCAAATCTCCTTTAACTTTACGTTATCTGTACTTTTACGTCTAAAGGATCAAATGTTTTCATTCAGTGAAACATTTTTTAATACTCACATTAAACGAGGCAAGACAAGTACTGTGCAAGCATGTGGATACTTATATTATATATAGTATATTACATACATACTAGGGCTGTACCCGAATATTCGGTCGTTGGCCTACTATTCGGTTTTCAATTTCGTTATTCGGATATTCGATTTTTTTCTTTCTAAATGTATGCTATCAATAAAGGCGAATTGCCACATTCCTATACTATATTTATACTTTTTAATTGCACTGTTAAAATGCGGAAATATATCTCAGCTTGGGCGTCTGACATCGCTTTCAATAGCTAGATCTGATCGATACATAAACGCGAGTGAAGTCTAATCTGACGGGAGAGAGAGATCAGCTGCTGCTGACGAGTCGACACGCAGCTCTGCATGATCACCTGCAGCGGCGAGCGGAGCAAAACACACACACACACACACTTCAGGTTAGAATATCACACGTAGCTATTTTAATTACCTCTCAAACTACCTAAACTAGTTATAGATACGTTTAGTTTTACTGTGGGGTCACTCTGGATCCACGAGCGCTCCGTTTATTATTCCTGTGTTATTGTAAGTTACTGTACACTTTTGAATAATTTAATCTACTATAATTAGTTTGTTTAATATCAAATCATATCAATTTGTTTTAAAGCTCAATAAATAACAAAGAAGACCTTTGACCGGCACTTTTCTCATTTTGTCCGGAAGATTGAAACTTTAACGGACATGGTGACCGGCCCAAAACATTTTTTACGGGAGCTCTGGGCACAACAACTATGAAAAGTCACGTGAATGCTGTAAGTAGTAGCTTAGCTTAGTTGTTGTCCAGTTGCCATGATGAAGCCACTTTATCCGCAGTTTAAACAGTAACGTTACACATGATAAAAACGTGCACGCGCGCGGCAAATATTCGCTGCTGATTACTACCGAATATCCGGAGCCCGAAAAATGGTATTCGGGACAGCCCCAATACAAATATCAATGTAGCACTGGATATCAAAATAAAAAAGTGTATTAAAATCTAAATGTTCCTTACCTTGCGGACGGAGGGCCACAACGGTATCATTTCTGGTCAAAAGTTTCTGAAAAGGATGAATGAAAAGTTGTTAAAAACAGAAATTCGATAAGTTGGCAATTTGCTCTTATTTTGATCCACAACTTACAGCAGGCGTGCGTTTATAGGTCGCTTCCCATTCCACTCCAATATCAGATTCAGAGTCTGACATTTTGTCAAAATCTGTATTAAAAAAAAAAAGTATAAATCACTTTAAAGAATTTCACGTTACTTTATACTCCTTTCCTGTCCAGGGAAAACCAGGGAAACAAAAACCAGCTGTTTGTCTGAACATATGATGATCTTATAGAAAATTATGCAGTTATATAAAGGAGGTTCATTCAGCACAACCTTTAACATCCACAGCAGTTAAATGCAGTATTCACATTGATGGAGCCGTATAAGAACAATCATATATCAGTGTTTCCCCTACCATTGTCTACCAACGGAGCACCGCGCGCCCCCTGAAATTCAAGGTATTTTTTTTTTAAATAATACATATTTATAGCACCAAATTGCAACTAATCTATCTACTGTCACTTTTCACAGGGTATATGCAGGAATCCTGAAGTCAAATGTAACACCCTTTAAGACCCTTTCCATACATGTTAAGACCTCATCGCCACTTCGAGTTCTAACCGGTTACATTGGCGACACACTTTACCTCACATTGACTATATACAGTATTGATTGTCCTTCCTCCTTAACTTCCAACCATTTGGACGCAAACTTGCATTTCCCCATAACGATGTTGTTTAACAACCGGCGTAAACGGACCTTCGCGCTATCAAGCAGTGAGCGTGCGATGTCCTGTTCAGATGACGTCAAATCCAACGGGATGCCATAAATAAACTACACAGAATCACACTACACACCTACGCAATGATTACATTCAGGCACACTGTAGAATACAACCTCTTTGGACAATTTATATACTTATTGAAAACAAGCTACAAAATGTAATACCTTAGAAAATGCTGTTTAATACTTTAATAGCCTTTGTTTAAGTTTGCTTAAGTTTGTGCACAGATGGAAGGCTGACAGGCAGGTCGGCCATCCAGTTATTTTAGCCGGGCCGGCTAAAATGATTGGTTGTGCTTTTTACAGTATTACGGCTTCCACAGATGACATTTTTGTCAAAGCACTGAAGATATTCATTGCTATCGGGATGTTAAGAGCATTCCATGGAATATAACAAAAAGGGTATCTCGAGCCGGTTTCTCAAACTTACCTACCCCACCTTTAAGTTATGAGTTTAGTATTTTTGACCCTAAGAAACACCGATGCATTAATCAATAACAATAATCCACAGCTCCTCTCTCTGCTCCAGAGGATTAAAAAAATATATATATATCCCAACAACACTGTATATAATAGTAAAACATCTTCTTAAAACGTTATCATCACTACTTGCATACCGTTTCTCTAATAATGAGTTGTACTTGTGGTATTAGTTCCTGTATCGACATGGAACATATGACTGCACAATGACTTCTTTTATCACCTTAAGTATATTTATAAAAAAAAAACACAATTAAGAACACACAAATGTTTATTTTATTATCTTTTTAAATGCTGTTTTGTAATGCGTTTCCACTGCACTGTTTCTTAATGTCTTTCATTTTTGTAAAGCATTTTCAATTGCCTTGTGTTGAAAGGCGCTATTTTATAAATGAACTTGCCTTGCCTTACTTTCTAAAACATGGCCAACTATCACACTTTTTCTCCAGTAATGCAAGAGTTTGACTACTTCACTGTAGTATGTTCACCGTGTGGTCTTAGTTCCTGTATTGACATTGAACATAATGACTGCACAATGACTTCTTTTAACACACACTTAATATGTATCTTGCCTCTTTCTGTTGTTGATTTAGTTGTCATTTTGTGTCCCTTTGTTGTTGTTTTTAGGTCTTTTTGTAGCTTTTGTCCTGTGTGTTTGATGATTTTCCCTTGTTTGAATTGAATTTATGTCTTTGCTGTCATTTAAAAAAGGCCCCAACATGTTTCCTACAAAGTAGTCACACACAGTACTTGTATGTGTACTTTCTCAGTATGACAAGTACTTTCAATGAGTACTTCCTTGCCCACTGTGTTACATCCGTATTATATTTACTTTACAGTTGTTTAAACGATAGCCAACTTTTTGAGGGTGTGGTCGATTACCAAACAACTAGCTTGACATCATTACATGCACATTACTCATGCTTTTGGACACTCCACCCAGAAGTAACAGTTAGCTAAAAGATAACAGCAAGTCATCGTATATATAATACATTTTCAACTTTAATGTCCCAGTTGTGATTTTAAGAAAGGAAAATGAAAACAAACAATGTTAACATTAATAATGGCGTAGTGTATTAACAAAATGCGGCAACACTTTTATATTTCAAGTAGTTTGTCGGTTAAACTCGCGGGAATACTAACGCTTGTTTTTTTTTTCAATATGATGTTAGCATTGTTTAGCTCATTAGCCAACCTACGTAGTTTTATCAAAAACCATCTTAACAGTTGTTCGTCTCATATAGCAAGGTTAGGAGCTAGTTAAATTGACCTATTTTGTTGTAAATTTAGTATATCACATACATTTTTTTACAACACAGCTTTTTTAGCTGTTAATCAACCCTACGACACTTTTGTACACGTCGTAGCGCGAGGCAACCGCTCCACGTACCACGCGAGGAGGAACCATTACACGGTCTTTAAAACATGTTTGGTGTTATTTTAGTATCTAAATAGACACAACATACCTTGATTTAACTAAATGTGTGGACGCTTAGCAGTGTCGGTCGTCTGGGCTGCTCTTGTTGTTCATATTAGTGTGCGGAAGTTAAAAGTGTTCACTCAGTCCCACGCTTCTGCGCCTCGTCGAGCCACTTACTGTCGTCGTCACGTGATGATAGGGGACGTTCCACTTCTTCTTCTCCTTATATATTTCCAGTACAGTCTTAAATGTCGCCCCCCTGTGGCCAGTCACGTACATTGCACTATATTTGTTATATTTTCATTTCCACAGAAGTGATGTCTTTATTTCTTATGTTCATAGGATTGCAGTGATCTTTGAAGGCTATGATTCGTTCCTGAAGTATAGTTCAGCTGCATTATTCTCGGTTAATGAGAGAAAAATGTCAACAAGGGGTCAACATATTCATGGTAAGTTTTGTTTTCATAAATGGCCTAATTGAAACCTATTGTACAGTCCAATCATGAATTGAAACTACACTTAAAGGGACAGGGCGAGATCAGATTGTGGTCATGTACAATGGCTTGGAAAACCCTTTTAAATTTGAGTTGTAGGTACTGAAATGAAACCTATTGCATGAAATGAAACTACACTTATAGGGACTGGTAGGAAATCAGAGTGAAATCAGGTAATGGGCTGAGAGGCAGGGTAGTGGGAGGCACCTATATCCTCCACCCTCTCCCAATTAGCAGTATTGGGAGCAGGTGTGGAGACCCAAACACCTGGTGCTGATCACTCCCTCAAGGGAGACAAAGCCCACAGAGTTTTTTCAGTTTTGTGTGTCATAGACTGGCAACAACAATGAGTCCAAGCTGCTCCTCCTTAAGAGAGATAGCAGCAATACCCAGGGCCGTAGAACTATGCCATGGGAAAAGAGACAGTAAAGAGAGAAAACGATTAACTGTGTCGAAGGTTGAATACCTAAGCAAATGATTCCCTAACAATATTTATAAATGTTTTCTTGTAATTCTTTTTCCCTGTATTTATTCAAATGTTTTACTCCTGTCATGTTCTGTCCTCCTATCTGTGTGCTCGTTGTGTGTATAATGTAGGTACACATTAAATCCAAATCACATCACAACAAGACCTTTACTTGGCTGTTCATTGTTTAAACAACAGATTAATGGTCGTCTACAGGTCTATGCATTGGTATTTCATACAGTGGCTCAAGGTTTAACACCCAGTTGAGGGACATCTTTTGTCTTCTTCTATGCTGGACACACACACACACACACACACACACCATGTTAAATCTGGAGAAATTGTCCCCACCACTTTCCTAACAACGCCCATGATATTTTGTAATAGTTTTGACTCTACTGTCCGTGCCTGAAGTATAATAAATGCAGCCTATATCCACTAATGTGGGTCACAGGTTCAAACCCCACTGCAGTCAGCATGTCGTTGTGTCCCTGAGACACTTCACCCCAAAATTGCTCCTGTGGGGATTGTCCACAGTATTGAGTATGTAAGTCGCTTTGGATAAAAGCGTCTAACAAGTCACATGTAATGTAATGAAAAAATGCCAGTGAAGGGAGTAACCTTTTCATGAATTTGTTTATTTCCATTCATGCAAATAGCCAGAAATGCAACCAACACTTAAGCATGAAACGAAACTACAATACAAAGACTGACAATCAGATCAGAAAGACACCAGAACTAAAGTATGTACAATTCCTTAAAAACATATTTCAATTGAAATTTGATTGTGCTTCCAAAAATGTGATTTAAATACTTGTTTTTTTTCCTGCTAAAAATCATTGTTTTACTCTTTTTCTTCTTCTTTTATGTTACTTATTGTATTCCTTATATTTCCGTATGAAGAAGAAAGAAAACAGTTGGACATGGAAAATAGACAAATACAACAAACCACATGTAACGTGTTCATTATTGAACTTTAGAGATGCCAAATTATTCTTCACATCCAACTGTCTGAAATGTATTCAATAAGTCCATTTCCCAACATGTCAAACTTTTCCCATACACAACATTTTGATTATCAAAACCCAGTTGTACCCTAAGTACATTTACGTAAGTACTGGAGGCTACTTAAGCAAAATGTTGAGATACTTGTACTTTACTAGTATTTCCATGTTATGCTACTTTGTGCTTCTACTCCACTAAGTACTGTAATATACTAAATGTGCTTAATTGCTTTCTAATTCTGTCTAATTTGTCTTCAGCTCGAAGTCGTCACTCTGCCTGAGAAAGCTGAGGAGAACCTTCTCTTGGTACAGGAAGAAGTTTCTGTTCCTCTCGAGGTCCTGAGCGTTTATTATACGCGTCACCAGAGCTTGTTGAATGGCCGGAGACTTACAGGGGTGATGCTGCACATCGTGACTCACATTCCTCCACGGCTCAATAACTAACAGACCCTGAACGTCCTCGTATCCAATCGAATCATTGAGTGTCTCTCTGTTCACTCCAACAGTCACCTTGCTTCTGTTTGTCACCTTAGATCCAAAGTCTCCACTAGGTGTGTTTGCTTTACAACGTCTGCGGTTTCCTGCAGTGATATTGGGTGTGCCAGTGTCATTAAAGTTAACCAGGCTATTATTAGAAATGTGATTACTTGAGCAGCTGATATTTATATTTTCTGGTCGACTGACTATCCTTGCTCTGGGTTTCCTGGATGCTGGAGTCTCCTGGATGTTTCTGTGCAGATAGGATGTGTATCCTTGCACCAGGTGACTCAACGCCGACTTATAGGAGAAACGCAGCGACTCTGCTGATCCCAAAGGAACAGAGTGAAGACGGACCTGTTGGAACAAGAGGAGAGAAGTTATTCTAGATCAGATCCCTTCAGAAATGATCAGTGTCAGCTTCAGTGTCAAAAAGAGACACATACCGACCCCGAAGAGACTGAAAACAAAAAGACTCACAATGAATTTCTAAATGGACAAAACAACCAGAATGAATCATAAATTGACAACAAAGGGATGCAAAACAGCCACAAAGAGACACACAGAGAATCACAACAGCAATTGCAGCTATGAATATGGGAAAAACAACCAAAACTAAACTTAAAAGGACTTAACAACAACACAAAGTGAATTACGGCAAAGACATCAATTCAATTCAAACACTCAAACAAGGGAAAGTCATCAAACACACAGGACAAAAGCTACAAAAAGACCTGTGTGTGTGTGTGTGTGTGTGTGTGTGTGTGTGTGTGTGTGTGTGTGTGTGTGTGTGTGTGTGTGTGTGTGTGTGTGTGTGGTGTGTGTGTGTGTGTGTGTGTGTGTGTGTGTGTGTGTGTGTGTGTGTGTGTGTGTTTGACTATGCAGTGTAGAGTGTCCCTGTGGAGAGGAGGGAAATTAAGGTGTGGAGGTCAGGCGTGTATTTGCATGTCTGACTCCCAGCATACAAGAGTTTCATCCAGTTATAAGCTTGCAATTAATATTTGTCCTTATGCAAACCTTAAAGCGGCTAGAACAGGTTCCCTCACCCTGAAGTTACAAAGGAACATTATCATTCATGTCTCTCTTTTTTGTTCTGCTGTATCATTCATGAACAATAATGCAATGATTATCACATACATGTTGCCAACATTTGCAGTGGACATGTATTCTAATTGAGAGCGGGTATTTTAACCGTGGCAGAAGTAAAAGCATTCACTTTTACTAATCTGACAAAAAACTGCGACAAAATATGCTTAAAAGACAATTGAACTGCTGTTTTGTTTCTTCTGTACCATGCATTGATGTCCATGTATCAAAGTTATAATGTTGAAGTTCTGCCTCTGTACTTTATATTATTGTATATCTCTTAAGCAGGTGGGAAGTAGTGGAGTACAAATACTTTGTTACTGTACTTATCCGTACTTTACTCCACTACTAATTTTTCTGACGACTTTTTACTTTGACTTCTTACATTTTGAACACAAATACCTGTACTTTCTACTTCTTACATTTTCCAAAAAGGCTGGTTCCTTTCTTTTCCTTAGTTTGAATCTGTGTTTGGTGGCCTGATCAATACTGAGAGACAAGTTGAGGAGGGGCCGAGATTCCTACAGGAAGAAGCTGGAGACTGCTCCAGCAGAACAATAGCAGGGATGTCTGGGCTGGGATGAAGGCTATCACTGGCTTCAAAGGGAGAGACAGACTGACTGTGGGCACCCTGGAGAGGGCCAATGAGCTGAACACCTTCTTCAGTTTAGCTCTCCGCCCGCTGCTGTCTCCTCCACCTCCACTTCTCACCTCACCTCCTTCTCTCAGCCTGGCGTCAGCATCCCCCCTCTGCTCACCACCTCCACTTCACACCTCTCCTCCACCACCCAGCCTGGCTTCTGCACCCCCCCTCTGCTCACATTGGCGCTGACCCCCCCCCCCTCTGCTCATCTTGCCTCAGGCGCCGTTTACACGAGGACAAAACGGCTTGTATCTGCATAGTTTCGCGTGCGTATAGCCCTATTATTTACACGAGGCCGATAGAAACGGACCCCACAAACGATAACGGGTCCCAAGGTGGATAGATTTGCAAACGAAACTCTCTGGGGGGTCAAACGAGTCCGTGTAATCGCCTCTATACGAATATTTCCTGAAAAAATAATGATAGCCCCACCTCTCCCGACCTCTGCTGCTCACTGCTGTAGCATGGCCAGTAGCCATCTGTAACGATCAACTATCAAAAATAGCTGTGTTAATTAAACGCACAAGGGGTTCTTGAATGAAATAATATTATAAAAGGCAAACCAGAATTGTTAATGCCCAATATACTCCTTAAACAAAATAAACAGAGTCAGATTTCATGCATTGATCCATTATATTGACAATTTTCCAGCCAAACAACACAAACAAAATTAAACAGTCCGCTCTGCGATACACCAAAATTGTCTTTACTGCCTAATCCAGGCCATTATTGTTCATTGCTCACCCGGTGTTTGTAGAGAATATCTCTCTTTCTGAGCGCGTCCTCTCCACGGAGACGTGCTTCTTGGTCGGTTGATGCAATATCCACAGATTCGGTTTCTTTTAGTTAACTTCCCCGTTGCATTTATCCATATATTTACATGCTGAGGAAATTACTATATCCCGCTGAATACCAGCAATCGCCACACACAAAATAACGATAGCCCCACCTCTCCTGCTCACTGCTGTAGCATGGCCAGTAGCTACTGTCAGTAGCTACTGCTAGTGCTACTGCTACTGACCATGCTACAGATGTTAGTACAAAATCTACAGCTCCTCTACCACAACCATCAGCAACAAGTGGACATGGAGAATTACATTAACTACTACATGTTGCTAAATCCACCGCGGGGTATAAACAGAAGGGTAGCCATGGCAACATTGCTGCGGGGCTGCTTCGGGGTCTTCTTCGCTGCTTTTGGTGTATTTTGGCGGAAGTTACAGCGCCACTTACAGTCCTGGCATATGTACTACAGCGTTTCCAGCGGTCTCGTTTGAACAGACACGTTAAATGAAACGAATGCATGTGAACGGAAGACTTTTTTGAAAGCGCATACTGTGCATAAACGCAAACGTTCCCGTGTGCACAACGCCTCAGACCCCCCCCCCCCCCCCCCCCCTCTATCCCCCCTGCCATCAAGCCCCCCCCCCCCCCGCTTCACTGTGAGCACAGGACAGGTCCAGAGACAGATGGAAAAACTCCACCAAGGCAAGGCTGCTGGCCCTGATGGTATCAGCCCCAGGGTCCTGAGGACCTGTGCCCGCCAGCTGTCTCCTGTTCTCCAACATCTCTACAACCTGAGCCTGCACCTGGAGACCATCCCGGTGCTGTGGAAGACGTCCTGCGTTGTTCCGGTCCCTAAAAAGACGACTCCTTCTGGGCTCAATGACTATCGCCCTGTAGCACTCACATCTCATGTGATGAAGGTGCTTGAGAGACTGGTCTTGGCCCATCTCAGACCGCAGGTGAGATCATTCCTTGACCCTCTGCAATTTGCCTACCTGCCTCACCTGGGGGTAGACGATGCCATTATTTACCTGCTGCAGCGTGCTCACTCATACCTGAATGGGTCGGGTTGCACTGTGAGAATCACCTTTTTTGATTTCTCCAGTGCATTCAACACGATCCAGCCTCGGCTACTGAGTGACAAGCTGCAGGCTATGAGGGTAAACTCGTCCACCATCTCCTGGATTACCAACTACCTCACGGACAGACCACATTACGTCCGGCTGGGCAGTGTGCCGTCTGATGTGGTGGTTGGTAGTATTGGAGCCCCACAGGGGACTGTGCTGTCTCCTTTCCTGTTCACCTTATACACCTCTGACTTTCAATACAACTCAGGCTGCTTTTACACGGGAACGTTTGCGTTTATGCACAGTATGCGTTTTCAAAAAAGTCTTCCGTTCACATGCATTCGTTTCATTTAACTGTTTAACTGTCTGTTCAAACGAGACCGCTGGAAACGCTGTAGTACATATGCCGGGACTGTAAGTGGCGCTTTACTTCCACACGAGACCACTCGAAAGCGCTGGACACGCTGTAGTACATATGCCGGGACTGTAAGTGGCGCTGTACTTCCACACGAGACCGCTCGAAAGCGCTGGACACGCTGTAGTACATATGCCGGGACTGTAAGTGGCGCTGTAACTTCCGCCACAAAATACACCAAAAGCAGCGAAGAAGACCCCGGAGCAGCCCCGCAGCAATGTTGCCATGGCTACCCTTCTGTTTATGCCCCGCGGTGGATTTAGCAACATGTAGTTCATGTAATTCTCCATGTCCACTTGTTGCTGATGGTTGTGGTAGAGGAGCTGTAGATTTTGCACTAACATCTGTAGCATGGTCGAGCTGTAGATGTTGTACTAACATCTGTAGCATGGTCAGTAGCAGTAGCACTAGCAGTAGCTACTGACAGTAGCTACTGGCCATGCTACAGCAGTGAGCAGCAGAGGCGGGGAGAGACGGGGCTATCGTTATTTTTTCAGGAAATATTCGTATAGAGGCGATTACACAGACTCGTTTGACCCCCCAGAGAGTTTCGTTTGCAAATCTATCCACCTTGGGACCCGTTATCGTTTGTGGGGTCTGTTTGTTACGGCCTCGTGTAAATAATAGGGCTATACGTAAGAGAAACTATGCAGATACAAGCCGTTTCGTTCTCGTGTAAATGTGGCTTCAGAGTCATGCCACCTGCAGAAGTTTTCGGATGACTCTGTAGTGGTAGGGTGTATAAGGGATGGACGGGAGGAGGAGTACAGAGCGCTGGTGGGTGATTTTGTTGAGTGGACTGGTGGAAATCATCTGCTTCTGAATGTGGCCAAGACCAGAGAGATGGTCATTGATTTCAGGAGGAAGAGGACATCTCCTCCCCAGCCCCTGTGCATTCTAGGAGAGGATGTGGCAGTTGTGGAGGTCTACAAGTACCTGGGAGTGCACTTAGACAATGGGCTGAACTGGAGGATCAACACTGACGCTGTGTACAAGAAGGGGATGAGCCGACTCTATTTTCTGAGGAAGCTGAGATCCTTCAACGTATGCAGCAAGATGCTGGAGATCTTCTATCAGTCTGTGGTGGCTAGTGCACTCTTCTTTGCTGCGGTCTGCTGGGGGGGCAGCATCAGAGCCGGTGACACCAGCAGGATCAATAAACTGATCAGGAAAGCTGGGTCAGTCATCGGCATCAAGCTGGACCCTTTTGAAGCTGTGGTGGAGAGGAGGACACTGAACAGGCTGTTGTCCATCATGGATAACCCCACCCGTCCTCTCCACCTGCAGCTGGACAGTCAACGGAGCTCCTTCTCCAACAGACTGCTGCCACAAGGACAGATACTGGAAAACATTCCTGCCCACTGCAATAACTCTGTACAACAAATCACCTCTGGCTGGAAGAGAACTCTCTGCTCCATAGTGTCTCTAGAAATTAAACCACGTTGTACATTTTACTCATATAATCTGTTCAATATTTATACTCCATATTCCATAATGTCATATATTTTGAATATATATATATATATATTTGTATATATATATAATATCTGCATGTATATTTTCTATTTCAAAATGTATATTTTATATTTTATTTTATTTTCTTTTTCTTTCTATTCTTGTATATTTTGTATATATTGTTTTATTGTAAAAAAAAATGCCTTTTATGCTGCTGTAACAACAACAATTTCCCAATTTGGGATCAATAAAGTACTATCTATCTATCTATCTATCTATCTATCTATCTATCTATCTATCTATTATTATTTAGAGTCATTGCGTGCCTATTGATTTGAACACGATCCGTGTATCCATCATTTCCTGGTCTTCTCTAAAGAAGAGGGACCAATGAAAACGTTGTCATGTTGCCGTTGTTCAGCATGGAAACATTCATTAGCTAACAATTACATTATTGTTCTATTAATATAAAGGGAGGTCAGGTACTCTTTAAAACAGCTGGTAGTTATGGGTACTTTTTACTTCAGTACATTTCAAAGCCCTCTTTACTTTTACTTGAGTAAAGAAGTTTAGTCAGTACTTCTACTTTTACCAGACTTATTTGTCCGTCCTGACCTGGTGAATCCTCATGTGCAGATGAACCGCAGCTCCTGCCAGCCACTGCTGCATCGACGCTGAACTCATCCTCTTCTTCTTGGTCATCCTCTCGTAATGGTCGATCAGCTCCAGCTTCAGCCAGTTGTCGTGGTGCTCTGTCGTCTCGGCCATCTTCTCCTGGTCGTTGGTGACACCAGGGACCAGGTTCAGGAAGCTGTGGATGATCCAGCCAATCCTCGAAGATCTGCTAATGCCTAAAATGTTTTTAACCTGGGACCTTTGAGCTGAAGCCTCTCCGTCTGCTGATCCATGGGCTCTGACCTGGTGGAAAACAAGAACATTTGAGTCCGTGTACCCTCAGTTTAAAAGGTTTTTCCTTTATTTGACCAGTAAGATAAGATAAGATAAGATAAGATAAGATAGTACTTTATTGATCCCAATTTGGGAAATGTTTGTGTTGCAGCAGCATAAAAGACATGGCATTGTACAATACAAATGAAAAAGACTAGAAATAAACAAAAAAGTTGAATGTTGAATTTACAAATGAACAATAACAATAACAAAATATAAAGCAAGTTATTATATATACATAAGTATGTGAACAGAAAAGCGAGTGCAATGGGTCGAATCCATAGACTGTATATATAATGGGTCAAATCTCATGCCAATCAAACCAATAACTGTGAAGATATTTCACTAACAACAACATTTTAACCACATGTTAGAGGATGCTCTGAACCTTTTTAGCTCTACAGAGTGTTGGGGAATAATTTGCTGAGGTATTCAACCTTTGACACAGTTCATCCTTTTCTCCTTTCACCGTCTCTTTTCCCATCGGTCCAAGGCCCTGGGTATTGCTGCTCTCTCTCTTAAGGAGGGGCAGCTTGGGATCATTTTTGATGCCAGTTTATGACCGAGCACAAGCTGCCATGAGATAGTTTAATGTTCAGGGACATCTAGAGGCTCTTCTTTTCCCTGGCACACATTCTTTTCTATGGACGACAGCTCTAGTTAGATTCAGGGTCCATATTTGTTTAGTCTCGCTGATGAGGAATGTTGATTAGTACACTCTGAACTGCAGAAGAGATCTTCAGAATTGGTTTGACAACCGCTGTGTCACCTCGTGGCGGCAGCACATGTCTTGTGAATTCCCCAGCCGTAACTTTATAATAAACCATCAGTGTTTGCCATCAAAGTTCCAGCTCTCCCTGTGTCTCTCTGAGTTTCATCTCCATTGGCCAAGACCAAGTCGTTTTTATCTTTTATAGACCTAGAGAGGGTTATTAATGCCTTTGTTACCTCAAGACTGGACTATTGCAACGCTCTGTATGTGGGTATGGACCAGGCCTCAATTAAACGCCTGCAGCTAGTCCAAAACGCAGCTGCACGTCTTCTGACTGGCCACAAAAAGCGTGACCACATCACCCCAATTCTGGCCTCACTGCACTGGCTTCCAGTTCGGTACCGAATTGATTTTAAAATCCTTTTATTTGTTTTTAAAGCCCTAAATGGGCTGGCTCCGGCCTATATAGCTGAACTCCTCCATCGCTACACCCCAGCCAGAGCTTTAAGGTCTGCTGACCAGCTGCTGCTGGTAGTGCCCAAGACCAGGCTCAAAACTAGAGGGCACCGAGCCTTCGCAGCAGCTGGCCCCAGGCTCTGGAACACTCTGCCCCTCCATGTGAGGTCGGCCCAGACCCTAGGGGTTTTAAATCCTCACTAAAAACACACTTCTTCTCTCTGGCCTTCTAGTTAGAGCGGAGTATGACACCTGACTATTCCCTGTGTTTTTGTTTTTTATATTTCTGTTGTAAATTATTGTCTTTTATTGTGATTGTAGTAAAGTGTTTTTATTACACTTTGGCTCGACCAAAAATCACTTTTAAATGTGCTTTATAAATAAAACTTGATTTGATTTGATTTGATTGCTTCAGAAGTTCCCATCACACAGAGGACATTATTAAATAATGCCTAACAAACAATAAACCAAAAAACCCCACTTGTTGGGCAACCTGGTCAAACCCTGCTGCTTCCTAACTCTCCGGTCAAACGGAGGCCGAACTATTGAGTCTGTGTACCTTAGTTTAAAATGTGTTTCCTTTATTTAACCAGTGAACAGAAAAGCCAAGTCAAATTTCATGCCAATCAAATCAAAAACTGTGAAGATATTTCACTAAAAACAACATTTTAACCACATGGATGTTTTGAACCTTTTGAGCTCTACAGAGGACATAATTAAATAATGCCTAACTGTTAGAAAAATATCTCTCGTCACCGGCTTGAGCTTCAATATCAGGATCCATGTATTTATGATCCTCTCAAGAATGGAAGTAGTCATCACATACAGAGCATCAACTAGTTCCTGAACAGTGTCCTTCACATGCTGATATACAAGAGACTAGAGGGAGTTACACAGTCACAAGATGGAGGAATATAAAGCAGTATTCAATGTTTAGTTCAGATTAGCTCCACGTCAGAAATGATCATGCTTGTCATATGTCTATCTCCATCGAGGCTGAATCATCATGTTAATCACAGAGCTATCATATGCCTAAAACAGTCCTGATGCTCTTCTAGGTAATCATACATCCTGTCATGTACACAGCTACAGTTGGGCCTTTGTTATCATGTGCTACTCACTCGAAGAGTACATTCAGTATTTCCCCAACACTAACAAACAATAAACCAAACCCACCTGTTGGGCGACCTGGTCAAAAAGCAGGGACAGAGCCAAGGCAACGACCCCGACCCCCCCATAGGAGACTCTGCTGCCTCCTAACTCTCCGGTCAGACGGAGGCCGAACGCCGCCTGCTGCTCGCCACTAAAGCCTCGCTGTAAGGAGGCGTACTGATGCTGAAGGGCTGCGGAGGAATCCAGAGACAGGAAGGAGGTGAGGACAGGATCCAAGGAGATGTCTGGGACGATGCTGGCATCCCGAGCCACGGAGAACAGCTCCTGGACGGTGGCTGCAGAGGGAAGACATAAAGAATCACCAGTCAGGATCATGGCTACATCTATGTGTGTGTGTGTGTGTGTGTGTGTGTGTGTGTGTGTGTGTGTGTGTGTGTGTGTGTGTGTGTGTGTGTGTGTGTGTGTGTGTGTGTGTGTGTGTGTGTGTGTGTGTGTGTGTGTGTGTGTGTGTGTGTGTGTGTGTGAAAGACCAGTGTCTGCTTGCTATCTGTGTTTCTGACCCTGTGTGTGTGTGTGTGTGTGTGTGTGTGTGTGTGTGTGTGTGTGTGTGTGTGTGTGTGTGTGTGTGTGTGTGTGTGTGTGTGTGTGTGTGTGTGTGTGTGTGAAAGACCAGTGTCTGCTTGTTATCTGTGTTTCCGACCCTTTGTGTGTGCGTGTGCGTGTGCGTGTGAGTGTGTGTGTGTGTGTGTGTGTGTGTGTGTGTGTGTGTGTGTGTGTGTGTGTGTGTGTGTGTGTGTGTGTGTGTGTGTGTGTGTGTGTGTGTGTGTGTGTGTGTCTGCGTGTTATCTGTGTTTCTGACCCTTTGTTCAGTTCAGCGTTCAGTTATTATGCTCCAAATATCTGGAACAAACTCCCAGAAATCTGACGGTCCGCTGCAACTCTGACTACTTTTAAATCCAGGCTGAAGACTTTTCTTTTTGTCGCTGCTTTTAATTGAACTATTCACATCTTAAACTGCACTGTAACTTTTATTCATGTATTTTTTTATTTTAATGTTTATTTTATTATCTTTACTTTTAATGACTGTTTTTAAATGCCATTTTATTAATGTCTTTCATTTTTGTAAAGCACTTTGAATTGCCTTGTGTTGAAAGGTGCTATATAAATAAACTTGCCTTGCCTTTGTGTGTTTATTCTCCCCAGTCAGAAAAGGCGTTATCAGCATGAAATCTCTCGCAAATGAGACGTCTATTTAAATGGTTTATACAGACAGACAGCTTTAATCAACTTAAAATAACAATACAAAAGTAATTGATTTCCCTCTGATGTATAGTGTAAGTATAAAGTTGCATACAATAGAAAGGTTTAAGTACAATTACCTTGAATTAAGCATTAACACACTTTGATATATGTTCCATCTCTCCTGCTAAAGGTCGAAAGAGCAGGAGTTTAAAGCGTGGTTAAGCAGCATTAAACACAGTCTGTCCCATGAAGAATCAATATGCATAGAGAATGTGAAGAATGTCAGAAGTGACAGAGTAAAGAAAAACTGTTAGAATAAAATATCTCTGCCACAACAAGCTTTTATCATGACCAAATGTTTCAGTTGTGTTACTGGTACATACAAGTGATTGCACTGCACTTTTTGTTATCAGACTAGGAGCATTGAACATTAACCCAAATGTCAATAAGCACAGTCAGCAGACTATTGAGTTTGTTCACTGAGACCCAGAAATGTGTTCCTCTGAATGTCCATAAACTGACTGTATCTGGTGTGAGAATGTGTAAATGTGCAGAGACTCAACTCTCTGTTTTTACACTTCAGTTCTTATATAAATGAACAAAGTAAATAAAATGTGTTAAAAAAAAGTAGATTTAATCAAAAACTGAACTTAAGTTTATTTTTGAGATACTTGAACTTTACTTGAGTATTTCCATGTTATGCTACTTGCTTCTTCTACTCCACTACACTACCAATACAACTAAATCAGAGCTAAATCGTCTACTTTTACTCCACTACATTTATTTAATACCTTTAGTTACTTTACAGATGTGGATGAATGATGTGAAATATAATCAAGTGTTAAATCAGACTTTAGTTCCACCTGGAGTAAATTCACAAGCTACCCTGCAGTATACAAAGTCATTAAAACTAGCTGCACCTTTACCAGCTTTGATAACACTTTAATGATCAATCATTATCAAACATATCATATTATTCTGAAATGGACCAATCTGCACAATGACTACTTTTACTGTTTGTACTTTACGTATATTTTAATGCCACCATTTTGTACTTCTGGTTGAGTAAAATGTTGAATGCAGGACTTTGACTTGTAACAGAGTATTCCTACAATCTGGTACTTCTACTTTGACTGAAGTACAAGATCTGAGTACTTCTTCTTCCACCTCTGAAGATGATCGATCACGATTTAACTAAATCATCGTGATGAATGATGATGCACTCTGCGCATGCGTGAAGCCACTTGTCCAATCCTTGAAAACTAGTCCCACAATGCGGAAGTAAATAGACCTGTGACATCAACCACACATTAAACAAAACAAAAGCAATACGCAATACGTTTTGAAACAGTTTGTTGAAGCACAAATTCTGCTGCTGTTTTATTATCTTACATTCAATTAATGTTCCTAGATTCAGTGTAAATCTGTAAAAGCCAGGGTTGAGATAACGTCATTGTCCGCACCCTGTAGGTTTCGTCAGCTCTCAAAACAGAAAGGAGGATCTGCTCGTGCTCCGGATCGATGCAAACATAATAACAGGTAAGTTAAACAGCGATATATGTGCATGAAATGATCAATAAAACATTAGTCATTAGTGAAACGAAATATGTCTCTTAACTTACGTCTCTCCACGTCATTAGCTACGGTAAATCCTGCAGCATTTGTTAGCTAACTGACCTGCAGACTGGCGAAAAATGGAAGGAAAAACACAAATAAAGCTAGAACAAAGCCTTGTGTAGCATTACTGTTGTAACAACTAAGCAATGAATATGTGGTAATTTCGTCATTTGCATTTGATGACTCTTACGTGTATTTACTCAAGTTCTCAAGCTACTTGTGTTTGAATATTTCCATTTTACACTACTTTACTTTACCTCCTATTTAACAGCTTTGGTAGCTTTAAAAACATATTAAAAGCTAACACAATTAACTACACAGCAACATATAACAGCAACGTTACAGCTGAAACAAATTAAGACAATCGGCAGATGAATTCAGTATAAAAATAATCATTAGATATGTTGAAAATGAGCTTCACATCAGCAAAGTAAAATCCTACTTTTTCATTAATGCATGAGTAATAACAATCGAATAGTGTATAATAGTAACAGCCCAAGAGGCAGTCTATAGCTGACATACTTTCTTAAAACATCATGCATTTGAGGAGTGCCCCTTTAAATATCTTCAAAAAAGTTGCTATGACTAACCACATTGTTTCCTAGCACACATATTCACTTGGAGTTGTGTGTTTTAGTTTTCAAACGTGTGAGATAAGTGCATTGAACACACAAAGTGTAATAATCAAAGTCAACTTTATTGTCAATCTTTCAGCTTGTGTGTACAGACAGAGTGAGAGATCGAAATACCATTTCCCACAATCCCGAATACAAAAAACAAATGTATATAAAAATATGTATAAAATATGTATATCCTATATATACACAATCAAAGACACATTTATACATATGCACACATTAAGACCTAAATAAAAGCACAACAATCAATATATACAAAAATAACAGTCACTTCAATATCTTTGAGAATGTACATTAGTGCAAGACTGTCCATAATATATTTATTAATAATATATGTATTAAATGCAGTATGTTGAATACTGCAGCACATACAAGTACACAGATAAATCAGATGAGGATTTTTCCATCGCAGGTCTCCCGGCATCATGAGTCAGCGGACGGAGCGTAGGGGCGGGATTCACGTCGACCAATCGGACCTGCTGTGCAAAAATGGATGCGGTTTCTACGGCAACGCGGCGTGGCAGGCTCTGTGCTCCAAGTGCTGGAGAGAGGAATATCAGAAGGTCCGCCATAAACAGATCCAGGACGACTGGGCACTGGCAGCGAAGTAAGAGAGGAGTAGTTAGAATTAGAAACACTATGAATTCAAGGCGTAGATACACAAAAACTGCAGTTCGTCAACTTTAAGTTATTTCTCAGGTTCTGGATTAGCATTAGCTTTAGCACAGCGATCAGCAACTGGGCATCACTTACACTAACTAATACAGAAATATACATTAGAAATAGAATCTTATTCACATTTTGCAATATTTATAGATAAGAATAGTAAAATAACAAACATGTATAATTCAGAAAAATATATAACATATAAACACCAACTTATTCATTTCAACCCCCGTTTTTAAATCCCTTATTATTACTTATTTTTTTTTACCAGTAGTGAACAGTACATTTACTAAAGTACTTCACTAAGAACACATCTCTTAAGTATTTCTATTTTATTCAACTGACAGCTTTATTTATTTCTCAGATTACTGTTTTTTATCCACTTTCCTTTTCCTGTGAAATCCATAAATCTCCAGATGTGTTGATTTTAAATGTTGGTAATAAAGGATGAAATGTTCCCTACTCCCTAAGTCAATTTTGCTGGTATATATTTTTACACATGTGCAGCTTCTTGGTAAAGGATTGAATATAATAATAAAAAAAAGCCTCTTGGATCAGCAGGAAGTCACAAAGCTGTTGGTTTCTGAAAAACTCATGAAAGGTTAGGTCATAAAAATGTTTAGAGATATGCGTTATCACTATGATGATCTTATAGAAAATGTTCTGCATAATGACTACTTTTATTTTTCATGCTTAAGGTTAATTTTGCTGGTTCATATTTTTACATATGTGCAGATTCTTGGTAAAGGATTGAATAATTCTTCCACCATCCTTACTGAAAACAACACCTTTACTTCCCTAAGTCTTGTAATGCTTTCCTCCAAAGTTTCCCGCCATTATACGATACGATACAATAATACTTAAACGGTCAGAATCAAGACTGAAATTTGACTTGGCACCACAGCAGCTCCATGTGTAACATCAACAAGGACAAATATCAAGACACAATACATGAAAACAAGCAACAGACATTTAACATAACGGCACAATCACTGAGAGAAAACATGCTCAAAGACCCTTTAGCATGCATTTGATTATCCCCTCTTTATCTCTGGCGTTTGCTCTATTAAAACGTCTTCTGCCACAGGTTGCAGCGTGAGGAGGAGGCAGCGTACGCCAGCAGCCATGGATCTCAGGCCCAGCCCCCCCCCCCAGTCCACAAACCCCCAGCCGGGACACGCCTCTCTGGGACCCTTCTCCAAGTTTGAGGAGAAGAAGACCAACGAGAAAACACGAAAAGTGACCACCGTTAAGAAGTTCTTCAGCCCTTCGTCTCGCTCTGCTCCCAAGAAAGGTATGTAACCATTTAGAGCAGGGGTGTCCAAACGTTTTTCACCGAGGGCCACATATAGACAAATATACAAAGGGCTGGGCCGCTCACTAGAGGTTTATTGCCTCATAAGTTCAGTTATAAGTCGGCAAAATCAATCAAATGTAGGTAAATGAAGTAAATGAAGTGTTGGCAGCTCATCCCTTAAAACAAAAGCCTCAGATTGATTATAATAAGGAGAAATAGGAAGGGTTTATTTCAAGCTTGTTACGTAAATAAGTCATTGGGCTTTTTTCTTATCAACTAAGATATGTTAGAAAATGTTTCCAACTTTAATTGACTGAATTTATTTGAAAAGCGGGTCTTATTAACACATGAATACTACTGTGTAATATGTTTTTACATTTATATTTAAGAAGTACAATATAAGACAAGCACAAGTTTCATTTGTGGGCCATGTTCAATTATAATTTTTGAATTTGCTGACGGCCGATTCAAAATGGTCCGCGGGCCGCATTTGGCCCCAGGGCCGTAGTTTGGACACCCCTGTTCTAGAGCAACTCCATATTATATTTAATCTCAATACAAGCAAAAAAAAAGTCACAAAAAGATGGTTTGGGTGCAGTGTCTTTCCTGGAAAACAACATCAGCAGCACTTTCTCTAAAAGCGTTTCTTCCTCACCAGAAACCCAAGAGGGAAAGACTCCCAGTCCGTCTCTGAGCCGCCGAGCGAGCTTTGATACCGACCAGGTGTCCAAAGACTTTATGGACTTCTTGAAGAACCTCCACAAACCCGGCAGAGAAATCCACAAACAGTGCCGAGCCTTCATCGTCACCATGTCCCAGCAAGAAGGTCCAGGTTTGACTTTGAGAATAATACTCTTAAAGGGGACCTGTTATGCAAATTCCACTTTTTCATGTCTCTTCTACATCAACATGTGTCCCCTCTGTGTAAAGAGATTCTGAAAGTTTCAGGAACAAAGATTCTCTCTCTTTTTGTCCTGATCCATTTATATAAAACCTGTCTGAAAATGAGCTGATCAGATTTTGGCCACTTTATGATGTCATAACGATTTTTTGGCTTGTGTAACCATTAGCCAATCACCAACCAAGGTAACCCCCCCCCCCCCCCCCCCCCCCCCCACCACCTTATCACCTGAATCTCCTCCTAGAGCACCATTGTGTTCTTTTTAACCAAATCTCTCTCAGAGGGGCGTGGGGAGGGGCTCCTTATTTTCATCTAAAGTAACAGACAGAGAATCAGCACTTTGGAAACAGGGCTGAAACAGAGGGGATTATGGGATGCTACAATGATCTGTTTGGTGTTTGGAGCCAAACACTTCAGAGACATGTTTTGTATATATCTGAGACCTATAATATATTGATGAAAAACAGTATGATAGGGGACCTTTAATATTTATAATATTATTGTTAAGTGTTCCCATGAGCTCCTAACCTCCTCTCCTCTCAGGACCTGGGCGCTGACGAGCTGTCGGAGTGCGTTCAGGACTTCTACCAGAACTTATCCGACCGTTTGTTGGGTCACTTTAAAGGTTTGTTCAGAGATTTCAGTATTGTTTCCATCAATACTTTTTTTTTTATAAATCAGAGTATGTAGCAATCACTAAATGGCAACACCAGAAAGATTTTCCAGTAACATTTTTATTCATGTTAATTGATAACGTCCATTGGTAAAAACAGACTATATTGTAGTCACGGAATTTCAGGATTGTTTTGTTTCTAACTTGATTTCACAAGTAAATTATTACATGAAGATAAAAAAATAAAGCAGTCTGTCAATACGTTTAAAATGTGATATTATATAATCAAAGACTTGTTTAGGTTAAATACAAAAGTGTATTATTTTGCAAAGCTCCCTGTAGTTTAGGTCACTTTGTTATGGAATGCTTACTTGTGATGATTGTCACTAGTGTTGTGGTATAATAAGCTTATTTGGAACATGTATGAAGGGTCTTAAAGGTCACCTATTATGCAAAATCCACTTGTTCATGTCTCTTCTACATCAACATGTGTCCCCTTTGTGTAAAGAGACTCTGAAAGTTTCAGGAAAAAAGATTCTCTCTCTTTTTGTCCTGATCCATTTATATAAAAACCTGTCTGAAAATGAGCTGATCAGATTTTGGCCACTTTATGATGTCATAACGATTTTTTGGCTTGTGTAACCATTAGCCAATCAGCAACCAAGGTAACCCCCCCCCCACCTTATCACCTGAATCTCCTCCTAGAGCACCATTAGGCGCTTTCACACCAGAGTACTTTTCCTGTTTAGTTCCGTTAGTGCCTGGAATTTTGCGTTCACACCAAAAAGAGAACTTAGTTCAGAGACCCTTTTACCCCCATTGTTAGTGCCTGCTAGAGAGGTGGGACTATCCTGGGGAGAAAAAAGTACCAATTTCTGATTGGCTGGGCGAATTGCAAACCACGCCCCGTAAAACTCGCCGCCATTGTATTTGATGGCATTAGCATTATTAGCATTAGCATTAGCCCCGCGCAACCAGAGAGAATAATTTATGGCAACACAAAAAGAATCATTGGAGCGGTGGAGTGATGAGGAGGTGTCGGCGTTCTGGCGATTTACTTGGAAGGCTGTCCCCAACTCCGGGGACTTCCGGCCGGGGACTTCGGGTGGCAGTATACGCCGTGAAGTTGTTTGCGGCCTGCCAGTAAACCCAAAGCAGAAGAAGAAGTGACGTCAGCGGCTTAATTTGCGTAATCCTCCCTCAAGGAACTTATTCCGGTGTGAACGCGATCTGTACTTAGTTCCATGGGGGTACTAAGTGCTGGGAACTAAGTGCTGGGAACTAAGTACTGCAAAGTACTTGGTGTGAATGCGGCTATTGTGTTCTTTTTAACCAAATATCTCTCAGAGGGGCGTGGGGAGTGGCTCCTTATTTTCATCTAAGGCGCCGTTTACACGAGGAGAAAACTGCTTGTATCTGCATAGTTTCGCGTGCGTATAGCCCTATTATTTACACGAGGCCGATAGAAACTGACCCCACAAACGATAACGGTTCCCAAGGTGGATAGATTTGCAAACGTAACGCTCTGGGGGGTCAACCGAGTCCGTGTAATCACCTCGATACGAATATTTCCTGAAAAAATAGCGATAGCCACACCTCTCCCCACCTCTCCTGCTCACTGCTGTAGCAACTATCAAAAATAGCTGTGTTAATTAAACGCACAAGGGGTTCTTGAATGAAATAATATTATAAAAGGCAAACCAGAATTGTTAACGCCCAATATACTCCTTAAACAAAATAAACAGAGTCAGATTTCATGCATTGATCCATTATATTGACAAAGGAGCGATCTCACCCGTTGTTTGTAGAGAATATCTCTCTTTCTGAGCGCGTCCTCTCCACAGAGACGTGCTTCTTTGGTCGGTCGATGCAATATCCACAGATTCGGTTTCTTCAGTTAACTTCCCCGTTGCATTTATCCATATGCTGAGGAAATTACTATATCCC